GATTCCCAGTCAGGGCACTTGCCTGGGTTGCGGGATCGATCCCCAGTAGGGAGTGTTCAGGATGCAGCCAATCCATGATTCTCTCTCATCATTGATGTTTCTATCCCTCTCTCCCTGTCCCTTCCTCTCTGAAATCAATAAAAAAATATATATATTTTTAAAAGATTCATTTTATGTTATGTGAATTTCATGTCAAAAAAATAAGAACTGAAATTAACAATAAACTCTGGCTTCTGGAAACTGACAGAAGCAGTAGAGGCAGCATCTTTCTTGGTTACCTGTCTGGTCCCATAAGCATCCATGAGAGGGAAACCCAGTTTAGGAAAATAGGCTAATTGGGTGTTTTTAGAAACACCACAAAGCAACACAATATAAATTACACTTCCTGGAGCCAAGAACAGTCAAGGATAATTAGTGGAAGTCTTTTGTTTTTTGGGTTTGTTTTTGTGTGTGTGTTGTTGGTTTTTTTGGAAATTTTACAATAATCTTAAATATGCTGAAATAAACTTTTCTAGATTATTAGAAGAAGAGTTGGGGGAGGACCCCATTTAAAGAGCTGCAAAATTCTACCTCTTGATAAAAGCTATGGCAAAACTGCAAAAACGGTCAGAAACAACTTGTTAGAAACTCTAAAAAGTATCAAAAGGTGTTCAGCAACACAGGGAGGGTTTGTTCACCAAAAGCGACTGAACCTCAGTGAGAACACTGGGCTTTGTGGTCCTTCCACTCCGGTTCCAGCCCTCACTCCCCAGCGATGGCCTTGGAGGGAGCAGCCCACAGTCATAACATCAGAGGAAACAGAAAGCAGCTGTTTCACTAGAAAATGCCATTGTTTCTCTTGACAATGTCTGGTGGCTCCCTGGAACACCAGATCAAAAGGCTTATTTTTAGTTCCTTTGACTGGGAACCCTCCCACAGCTAAAGCTCCTACCCAGGGATGTTTTGGTCAAAACATTTCCAGGTAAACATTTTAATCTCTGCTTCCCGGGGTAATGCTAACAGTCTGGGCAAACAATACACTGCGGTAACTACGGTAACTAGAAAGTAACCTGTGCACGTGCCTTGACCAGGAATCGAACCAGTGACCTCCTGGTTCATGGGTCAGTGCTCAACCACTGAGCCACACTGGCCAGTCTGTCTGGCTGATTATTAAAGATGTGCCCCAACACACACTCGGAGCAAATACAGGGAGACTTTTGTGGATCCAGGTATTTAAGAAAACTTCCAGCTAATCATTAGCAAACCATAGGCTAATGAAGCAGAGACCTCAGTGACCACACACAATAAGAAATACAGGCTTCACAAAATTCCTTCAGAGACATTACAAAACCAATGAGACGGGGGAATATGATTTACTGAGTTATGGCATGACAATGTGAAACATGTGCAGTCTTCGAGGAAAATATAGGAGGCATGGAAAGAAACAAGTATGGTCCAACACACAAGAAAAGGCAATAAAGAATAAACTGCCTGTGAGAAAGTACAGATGCTGGACTTACTAGACAATTACCTTTAAATAAGCTTTTTTAAATGTTCAAGAACTAAAGGAAACCATAACTAAAGAAATAAAGGAAAGTGGTAGAACAACATCTCACCTCAAGGATAATATAAGTACAGAAATTCTGGAAGTGAAATGTACACTAATGTTCATAGTAGCATTATTCAGACTAGTCAAAAAAATGGAGGCAACCCAATGTCCACCAACTGCTAGATGGTCAAACAAAATGTGGCATATCCATATAATGGAATATCATTTGCCATTAAAAGGAAGTATGGTTTCTTGCTACAACATGGATGAACTTTGAAAACATTATGCTAAGTAATAAGCTAGACACAGAAGGTGCACATTTATATGAAATGTTTAGACCGGGAAAAACCATAGGGATAGAAAGCAGGGAAAGGAGATGAACAATTTGGAATTTTAATGACATTAAGGTGCCCATTCCAGGAATCCTACTTCTAGGTATGGGCTCTGCTGGTCTGGTCCTCCCTCACAGCACACCTTTCAGGCCCATACACCCATGACCTGTTTTGGAACCAACCAATATGGAGCATCTAATAGGTCTGTGCTTACTGCGTTAAAAGAGAGAGTAATGGAAACATTTTCAACGTAGGCGAGGACAAAAGCAAGCCTAGGCAATCACAGGTAAGAACACCAATATTCTTCCTCTGCCTTTTTAACTATCACCCATGCTGCCCTGGACTGAATTGTGTCTCCCCCCCACACACACACACCTCCAATAATATACATATGTTGAAGCTCCTAGTCCTCAATGTGATGGTGTTAGAGGGTGGTTGGGGTTAGATAAGGTCATAAGGGTGGGGCCCCGTGTTGGGATTAGTGCCCTTATCAGAAAAAGAAGAGAGCAGATCTCTTTCTCTCCCTCTCTCCCCCCCCCCTCCCAAATCACGTGGCCATATGCAAGCCAGGAAGAGAGCTCTCACAGGAACTGGTGGCTGGCACCCTTAACTTGGACTTCCTGCCCCCCAGGACAGTGACAGGTAAACATGTGTTGCTTAAGACCCCCAGTGTGTGGTGCTTTGTATGGTCACCCAAGCTCTGTAATGTCTGTACCCTCCATGGGTGAACTCTCGGCTCTTTAAGCCACTGCCAATCTCCGTGGTGCTGAAATTTCACACATACTAGTAAATAGTGAGCACCGGTGTTTCCTAAAAGCTGTAGGAAATAATCACTCAAGGATTCTCTTTTCTCTGAAATCTGAAGTCAGGTTCTTTCAGAAGCCGGCCTCTTTTCATGTGCAGCGAGATTTTCTTTTCAAATCCCTCTTTAAACATTTCCTTCTGGGGGATGTCTTAGCCTTAAGTACTAAACCTTAAAGAAAAGCTGTTTTCCATTCGCTGCCTGGTTTCAGATCTGATCTCTCCCTGACCTTTGAAAAGGGCAAAAGAAAGACTCGGGGGCCACCTGCTTTGAACTGCGCAGCAGTGCAGGGGCCGCCTGACAGACCCGGTTAGAAGACACGGCCCCAGGGCCCTGCAGGCAAATTTTTCTGCCAAGCTCAGGCTGAACATCAAAACGTCCAGCCACGAACGCTGAAGAGCTCCGTTTAAAAGGGACAGCTCCTGGCCCTTGTTGCTCAGTGGTGAGCGCCGGCCCACCTATGAACCAGGAGATCAGGGTTCGATTCCTGGTCAGGGCACTTGCCCCCTGGTTGTGGGCTCCATCCCCAGTGGGAGGCGTGCAGGAGCAACCGATCCATGATTCTCTCTCATGGATGTTTCTCTCTCTCTCTCCTCTTCCTTCCTCTCTGAAATCAATATATATATATATATATATATATATATATATATATATATATATATATATTTTTTTTTTTTTTTTTTTTTTTTAAGGCAGCTCTGGTTATGCCCTTTGGGAGTCCCAAAGTCATGGCTAAAGGCACAATGGGGAAAGAGGGTATTCGGAGAGGGGTGATGAAGGGAAACTAAAGTTACCAGTCTGCCACCTGTAGGCGGGTGCCAGCACACGCCAACCTCAGCCAGCGCCCACCAGTCAGCCGATACGAAAACAGTGCATATTAAATAACATTAAAAAAAAAGCCCTGAGCAACAGATGTGCAGAGACTATATATAGTGAGTGGCCCATCTGAATCACAGCTCCCGGATCCCTGCCTCCAGCCTCCTCCCTGCTGGGACCTCATGTGAAAAGCCACGCCGAGGAATCGGACAGCAGAGGACACCAGCCCACGAGGCAGGGCAGAAACGTTGAAAATGCAAAACTCAAGAACACACACCACACATCCATCCATCCCCAAGGCTTGCTCTTGGATTTCCCCGAGGTGGAATCAAAAACGTACTGTGTGGCCCTGGCTGGTTTGGCTCAGTGACTAGAGCGTCAGCCTGCGGACTGAAGGGTCCCAGGTTCGATTCCAGTCAAGGGCACGTACCCGGGTTGTGGGCTAGATCTCCAGTGGGGGGCATGCAGGAGGCAACTGATCCATGATGCTCCTCATCATGGATTTTCTCTCTCCCCCTTCCTCTCTTAAATCAACAAAAATAGTTTAAAAAAAAACACACACACACAAAACAAAACATACACTGAGCGGATCCTTATGCCTAAACCCCAAGGCGGCCACAGATGCCAAGAGTTCTCAGAAGTGCCTGCCTCTCTTTACAAATAAATATATAGGGGCTGCATATATTTGTCCTGTTTCCATGGGTCCACTCTTTTTAAAAAAATATATATATAATTGCAGAGAGGAAGGGAGAGGGAGAGAGAGAAACATCAATGATGAGAGAGAATCACGGATCAGCTGCCTCCTGCACGCCCCCTACTGGGGATGGAGCCCGCAACCTGGGCACGTGCCCTGATCTCCTGGGTCATAGGGCAATGCTCAACCACTGAGCCCTGCCAGCTGGGTGGTCCACTCTCTTTTTTAAATTTGGGGCTGGAGATGAGGATGAGGATGGGGCTGGGGGGAGGGGGCAGAGGGGAAGGAGGAGCAACTTTCACCGTAAGGCTTCAAAATGGCCAAACAACCACCCTCTTGGAGACAAGCCCTGGAGAGCGATGTCCTGGTGGCTTTCCCCTACGGAGGCTTCGTTTATGGGGAAATCAAACCGCCTGGAAACCGGTCTCAGAAAACGGGGCCCCGGACGCCAGGCTGCGGGGCGGCTGCGGACGCGGGAAACGCCGGGTCCCCGCGCCCGGAGCCTCCCTGACCCGGCTGAACCCTCAGCCCCACGCCCAGCCCGGCCCCGGCCCGCGGCAGCCGCTTGGCTGATGGGGGTGCGGGCCGGGGCCGGGGTCGGGGTGGGGGTCCGGGGAGAGGCGGGTGCCGGTCAGGGCGCACAGGCCGGCTCCTCTCCGGAAAGTAACGGGGCTCCGCGGCGGGGAAGGGGAAGGCGAAGGGGAAGGGCGCTCGGACGGGGGCGGGAGGCGGGGTGCGGGCTGGGGGGGTCCCCGGAGTTGCGCGCCCGGAGTTGGGAAGTCCGTTCCCCGCCCGCCCGCCCGCGCGCGCCGGGCCGCGGACACTCACCGAGAAGCCGGCCCAGAACGGGCACGAGTGGCGGACGCGGGCCGACGTGGTGAGCGCCAGCGCGGCGAAGCTCACGGCCACGATGAGGCAGCCGAGCGCCATCTGCGTGGCCCCGAGCGCCAGCACCACGCGCGAGCGGCCGGGGCACGGGCGCAGGCGGGACAGGCTGCGGGGCAGCGCGCGGGCTCCGCCGGCCGGAGGAGGCATCGCGCCGCCGCCGCCCCGCCTCGCCTCGCCTCACCGCGGGTCTGAGGCGGCAAGTTGCGCCGGGCGCGGGGGCGGCCTGGCTGCGGGCCGCGGGGGGTGCGGCGGCCGCGGGCGGGGAGCCGGGCGCCCGCAACCCCAGCCGGTGCCCGCGTCCATGCCGCCGCCGCCGCCGCCGCTCCGCACAGCGCCGCCCGGCGCGCCGCGCTGCGCCCTCTCCCGCCGCCTCCTGCGCGCTCCCAGTCCGCGCGCGTGCGCGGGCGCTCCCCGGCCCGAGCGTGTGCGCGTGCGCGTGCGCGTGCGCGAGCCGGTCTGTCCTGGGAGCCGCGCGCGCTGGGGCCGGGAGCGCGCAGGCGCAGGTGCGGCCGCGGGAGCTTTCGGGTCGCCAGGATGGAAGTGGGCACCGCAGGCGGCGCGTCAAGGGCGAGGGCAGCCGCCTCCCGGGGTTGGGGCGCGCGGGCAGAGCCTGGGTGCGCGCCTTTGGGGGTGCGGGTCGGGTTAGGGGCGCCCTTAGAGACCGCCGGGCCGGTGGGGAGCGCAGGTGTGATCAGTATTTGCAAACGCTCTGTCCCAGGCGTTGGCGGCTGCGAGCAGCCTCCCCGAGCGCAATGGCGAGATCCCAGGCGCCGCTTTGCCTTTGCCGCAGTGGCAGAGGGTCCCCGGCCAGCCCCCGAGGACCCGGCCCGGAAGGCACTGCATGGAAAACACCCCCAGCCCCGCAATAACGGAGGTCTGAAACTCACCTCTCATTTGCAAGGCTCTGGATCCAAGTGGAAAGTTTGGGTGTAACACGAAAACCGCACAAAACGAATTTATGGACCTATCAAGCCCGGCTGATGTGGCTCAATGGTTGAGCGTCAACCTAGGTACCAGGAGGTCCAGGCTGGATTCCTGGTCAGGGCACATGCAGAGGTTGCAGGGTCGATCCCCAGTAGGGGGCGTGCAGGAGGCAGCCGATCCATGATTGTCTCTCATCATGGATGTTTCTCTCTCCCTCTCCCTCTCTGAAATCAATGAAAAAATACTTTTTTTTTTTTTTTTTTAAAAAGGACCTATTAAATCATCTCCACTCCCTTCTGCCAGGTTAAGGTTGTAAATATACTTGATTATAGCCGCCTTCCTTCGAATACCGAGAAAGTTGGCGAGTTTTGATGGCCCTATTTCGCCTTGTGACGGGGTGGGGTGGCCATTTAGACCACCCTGCGTGGGAAAAGGCTGTGTTGATATATTACAAGACCCGGGCGTGTTAAGAAGTCTGAAGAGAGGAGGCATAAAAAGGCAGAGTGCATAGCATGTGCTAATGGGAAGTGGTGGGTTACGCCCCCACAGCCTTGGGAGATGGGAGAGAGACCCCCAGTTGGATAAGAAAACGCGGTGCAGGGCCTCCCGGATGCTTGAAATTTCACCATTAAGAGATATCGATTCCTTTGGGGCTTGCTGAGCCTCTATTAAAATGCAAATTCCCCTGGAAGGGGCCATAGCTCAAGCCTTTATCAGCCAACACCTTAGCAGGGATGGGATCCATTTTCCAATTTTAATGGGATGGCCAAGGGGACGCACAGGGGGTGGGGAACACCGCCGATAAAGTGGCTGACCTCAAAATGCTGGCCTGCCGCCAGTGCTGCTTTCTCCTCTGGTTCTTATCTCTCGCAGGACGGAGCCCCTTCAGGCATCCTTTAAAGTGCTGGTGCATAAAGTCATGGAAAACATCCACATATATATCTGTAATAACGTTTCCTGGAGACGTTCTCTAGAAAGTCGCAGAGCTTGGAACAGTGCCAGAGCAAGATCCCCCCGACTGCCAGGAAATTTCCGTCTCCCCGTAGTCACCTTATTCATTCATTTATTCACACCTCCAACCAAAGGCTCTCTAAGCACCAGTGGAAAACAGTACGGTGTTTCCAAAAGAAAGACACATAGAATTATCATATGATCCCTACGGTTCCAGGAATTCCACTTTTGTGTATGTCCCCACGGTCTGGAAACAGGGACTCGGGGGTACCTGCACTCCCATGGGTAAAGCCGTGTAGCACACAATAGCCAATCGGTGGGAATAAGCCACGGCTCCATCCACGGATGAGTGGAGAAGCAAAACGTGGTGTCGTAAAAAGGTAGGAAACGTGGACCCGTGCCGAGGGAGATAAGACGGTGACAGAAGGTCAGATCCTATAGGAGTCCACTTAGGTGAGGTGCCTATAGAAGTCCCGTTCATAGACACAGAGAGTACAAGAGGCCACAGGGAGGGAGGTGGGGCGGGGAGGGGGGTGACTGTTGGAAGGGGGCAGTCTCAGTTAGGAAAGAAGAGGGTTCTGTGGATGGATGGTGCAGAGGATGGTGACACAACCATGAGAATGAGCTCAATGTCACCCAATTGCACCTGACATTTGGCTCCAACGGTAATTTTTATCCTATATATAGTTTACCACAGTAAGTATACAATGACATACCTCTTGACTAGTACATCCACTCAAGATATATTAAAACCTATTACTAGCCCTAGCCTGTTTGGTTCAGTGGATAGAGCGTCTGTCTGCAGATTGAAGGATCCCAGGTTCGATTCCCGGTCAGGGCACATGCATACATAGGTTGTGGGCTCAATCTCCAGTGGGGGGGGGGGGGGCGGGGGGAGGGTGCAGGAGGCAGCGGATTCACGATTCACTCATCATTGATGTGTGTCTCTCTCTGAAATCAGTAAAAAGATAGTAAAAAGCAAACACCTGTGAATGACAAGTGAAGGCATGGATGTAGAGAAATCAGACCCCTATTCATTGCTGGCGGGAATGGAATAGGAGGCAGATGGAAAACCATCTGGCTGCTCCTCAAAACGAAATACAGAATTACTGCCCGGCTGGTGTGGCTCAATGGTTGAGCGTGGACCCATGAATCAGGTCACCAGTTCCATTCGTTCAGGGCACAGGCCAGGGTTATGGGTTCAGTTCCTGCTCTGGGCACATAACTGGGTTGCAGGTCCTATCCTGAGTCAAGGCACATAAGGGAAACCAATCCATGTTCTCTTATCAATGAACATAAAAATAAGATTGTAAATAGATAAAAGTATTTTGCAACGATGAAGACACTCTACAGATGCTGGGTGCCAGTCTTCGGTTAATAAGCACTCTGTAATACGCCTGACAAGTCCTTAGCAGGTAGTTGTCGACCACTATCCATTCATTTGAAGTCTATATCCTAAGCCCCATGTGAAAACTGAAGTTCCTTAAACTTCTGAGCTACTGATGAGAATTCTGTGGGGAGCCCCGAGAAACAATAATAAATGAGGCTAAGAAGGAAGTTCCACTTAAAACAATAAACTGCCATTACTATGAAATCGGGTTAAAAGCAACTTACAGCGCCACAACTTCATTAGACTAAGCAATTCTTCACGTTCACACACCCTGACTCAAACATAATTATACATGGGGGGGGAAAAGTTATGCCTTTAGGGAAAACAAATCAAAATTGTGAGTCAAGGCACACGGGAGTTGATAATTCTCATCCATCAACGGAACAGAAAATAATGGAGCAAAATTCATCATTTGGTTTTGAAGGATGAGGGTCACCTTGAACCGGAAGTCCTTGAATAGTTTCTTTAAAAAAGGGACAACATGCCAGGTCGGGGTGGCTCAGTCGTGGAGGATCAACCCATGAACCAGGTCAAGGCTGTATTCCTGGTCTCCATGCCAGGGCTGTGGGCTCCATTCCCAGGACAGGGCCTGCAGGAGGCTGACAGACACACACCAACACACGCATGTACATTGATAGACACGTGGGACGCTCTCGGGGTCACGTTTCTCCTCTTGCTCCGTCTCCACAGGACCTTCTGGGCACGGGGACACGCGCCACACCCACCCACCAGGCCTCCTGTGGATTTAAAAGGACTTACAAAGCTGCACGAACCCACAAACAGTGAGCCAATAGACCAAGCCAGCACTTTATTTTAAAAGTTTTATTCTGCAGATTTAGAAATTTGAGACTTTTTTTTTAATAACCGCAAAAGAAATCCAGTCACACCTAATGGTTAACAGAATGTAGTGGTGTATTATCCAAACGGAAGTCGTGCTGATGTGCCGTAATAAATCGTCTATTAGTACAAAAATACACTTTAGGGCACAGCAGTGTATCACAAATTACAGGAGGGGGATTTTGCAAGAGTTTAATCAAACTAGAGAATTCTGAGTTACTGTATCTTTTAAATGCAGCACTTAAAAATGTAACAACTCTGTGCATTTCTTTAAAAAAATGACCTTGTATGTGTCATAAAAATGCTGCTTTATTGCTGCAGAGGTCAAAGTTCAAGGCTCAAGAGGTACAGGAGAGAATACAAAGGTAGCCTTAAGAAACTTGGTTTTGTTTATGTATAAAAAGGGGAAAGTTTATAAAAGTTAATGTACAAACCAAGAACAAAAGTGGTATGCACGCGTTATGTACAAGCATCCTTAAAACAGCAAAATTTTTGAATGCATAGCCAAAAAGAAAAGACAAAAAAACAAAGCAAGCTACCACCGCCCCTTGCCCCCCAAAACCCCCAAATCACACCATCATTCCCATCTGGGTGACCACACGCCCCTGCAACCACCCCCTACAATCTGCTCCGCCCACGTCATGATTCAGTGTCAGGATGCACCCGGAAGCCATGGAGACCTAGCCTACACAGACGACCGAGAATTAGGTACAGAGGTAAGGCATTCCTGCTGGTTAGTGTGTCGGTGACGTGGTTAATTCGAGATCCAGAGGCCTGGCACAGGCACGTGCTTTGGTGCCCTTCCCCAAGAAGCATGTTTTCATGGACAGTCAGTCAGCGTCTTCGCTGGACCCTCCGCCCCAAGGCGATCAATCCGCTGGCTGTCCATCTGTTCAGTCCACCACGCGTGTTCTATCCCAGGTGCATTTAGATGTGTGCGTGTTACCCCATGCATAATAACATAACGTGTGCGCCAGGCCAGGGCCACCGTCAAGTGGGAAACCGTGTACTTTGAAAAGAACAGAACTCAGATGCACCCCTTTCCTGGCTGGAATTTTAACGGAAATCAGTGTGTGAAGTGAAGCAGTGACCACAGGAAGTACAGTCATCATTACGAAGCCAACGTCTGTGAACCCCTCGCAGTTCGCAGTGTCTTCTGCCCATGGCGCAGGAGGGCGCTCTCGAAGCGTCAGTTCAGACGAAGCGCTCCACACGGCCCACGCAGCAGACTCGGGGACGTGTAATACTGGGGAGAGTAGTTCTGCTCAGAGAGGAAGTCCAGCCCAGGCTCCGAGACAAGAGCCTGGTCCTGGTCCGGAATCAGAAGTGGTCGATCAGGACGGACACGCAGTTGGCTCCCACCAGGTAGTTGGGATCTCCAGGAAGACACTTGTTTTGCCAGGTCTTAGGGTCACCTGTGAGGGAAGCAAGCTCACGTCATCCGTAGTCACTAGCCACAGCGCTTTGCAGCCACAGGCCAACACACACACGTTTACATACAGTTTCCTTCTATGTCCTTATCATGCTGCATTTATACCCAAACTTGACGACCTGAGTCCGTGGCATGAACACACGGTAAGGTATAGAAATGCTGACCCGCTAGATTATAACCTGAAACTATGATAATTAACACACTGTGGACAGATCACGAGAATTCTTGCTTCATATTACACAGTGTTTTACAAAGCATCATACTTTAAAAAGATATTAGCTTGTAGGAACATGTAATAAGTAATTTCAAAATGCAATGGATAATTTTAAAGCATGCCTTTAACATTTATGTAAAACATTTTTTACTCCTTCATTGGAAACTTATCTGGCCGTGGGTAAAGGTAGCAATGAAACTACTTTAATATGATACTGCATAATACTCACCAGGTTTACCAAAAACTCAGAAGCAGGACTATACATTCTTATTTTTCTAGATCAGGATCAAGTAAAGTGACCAAAGCCCAAATAAACAAAGTTCCAACTGGTAACTGACCAGTCGCCCAAGGAAGTGAGAAACGTGAGTATAAATGGGAGCTTTGTAATTAGGACCCTAACACAAATCCACAAAAGTAGTGTGGAAGGTGGTCTTTCAGGTTCCTGTTACACATGCTTTGAGGATTGAAAAACTAAAGAACAGTGACCCAAAATAGAAATCATATAAAAGGAGTCAAATCATTTTAGTAAGAAGGTGAAAATGCCTGATATGTAGGATAACATCAATTCTCCCACTGCATCTTAAAAAAGTTACTTACTTAGTTATATATGTATGTATTTATTTTTTAGAGAGAGGAACGGGGAAGAGGGAGAGAAAGTGATAGAGAGAGAGATAGAGAGAGAGAGAGAGAGAGAGAGAGAGAGAGAGAGGGAGAGAGGGAGATTGATTTGTCGTCCTACTTAATCAAGCTTCATTGGTTGATTCTTGCATGTGCCCTGACCGGGGATCAAACCTGCAACCTTATTACAGGACGACGCTGCACCAGCTGAGCAGCCCAGCCAAGCTTCCCATCTTAACATTTTTGACAGAAGACATCATTCTGCTGCCATCAAGAAAGTCCCCCTTTGGCCAATCCCCAATGGCTGAAAGGCAGACACCTCTCTGCCTTCCCTGCTCATTCAGCCGATGCAGCACAAAGGTTTGCCCTCAGCCCAAGGTTAATCAATGACAGTCCCAAAGCCCCAAAGGACAGAGTGAAGGAGCATACCCGACGAGGAGTCGGATGATTTTAGAGCAAAAGACCAACCGTCAGGAGTCATGGACGCACAGTGTGGCAGGCGCAGCTCCACGGGCTTCAGGAACTTGAGGCCATGGGGCCCACACATCACCAGCGGGCTCAGCAGGGTCTCACCTGGAGGGGGGAGAGGTCAGGTGGCTGTCTTCCTCTGCACCCCGCTTCTCCTCACCATCTGATAGTATTAATGACAAGCTAACTGCTTAGCTCTCTACAGCAGCGCTAAGGAAACGGAACGGGAGCCACACAGGTAGTTCTACGTGTTCTAGCAGCGACTTAACCCAGTGTATCCCCAAATCACGTCCCCATGTCACCCATCCGGGCACTCTGACGAAGGAGCAGCTCTGCTTGGCCAGTGGGGGCAGGAGAGGGCCCAGCAGTCCTCTCCCGGAGCTCCCGGCAGCCGGTTAGGGACGCTGAGTGAGAAGCCGTTACCTTTCTCCTTGTCGAGGGGCGGGAGGATGCTGTTATCGCGGCAGACCTTGAAGTAGATCTCCTGCTCCACGCCCTCGGGGATGGCTCCCTGGGGGATGATGATGCTGACGCCCGTCTCGATGGAGCTCAGCACCCCGCCGTTGCTGCTGAACACGCCCCGGGCCGTGGCCACCACGGTGTGACCGTCCTCGTCATTGTCCTCCTCCACTGCCGACGGGCTGAGTTCAGAAACGCACATGAGTCCACTCCCGCCTACACGGGCTGCACGGTTCCCTTCCCCGCCACCAGGGAGCGCCCTACCTGAACAGCTAACGTTTTTAGGGCCTCATGTGACTCCCAGGGCTAAGGATCGAGCCAGCAACAAAGGTGCATGTGCCCTTGACTGGAATCAAACCTGGGACCCTTCAGTCCACAGGCTGATGTTCTATCCACTGAGCCAAACTGGTCAGGGCCACCTTTGTTTCTTTTAACATCATTGCTGAGGGAACAGTGGCTGAGGAACATGGATGCCGCTGGTTCTGGGGTCACAGGAAGCCATGGCTGGTAAGAGAATAGCTGGATCTATGCTACCCACACCGCAGCTGTACAACCGTGGGCACACAGTAATGTCACTCGACTCAGTCCCAGGTAAAAGTGGGCTAAGGAAAAGGCCTACTGGCCACAGGGGACCATCAGCTTCGTGATTTCTTGTGCCTCTTGCATGATAGCATTCACGGCAACGTTTTGGTCAACAGTGCTGAGGCTCTACCTGGTGTGGCTCAGTGGATAGAGCATCAGCCTGGGGACTGGAAGGGTCCCAGGTTTGAGTCTGGTCCAGGCCATATGCCCAGGTTGCAGGCTTGATATCCAGTGGGAGGCCTGCAGGAGGCAGCCAATCAATGATTCCCTCATCGTTCATGTTTCTTACTCTCTTTCCCTGTTGCTTCCTCTCAGAAATTAGTAGAATTATATTAATAAAAAATAAAAAAAACAGTACCAGGTTCAAGTTTGAGCCAAAACGATCATGTGAAGTCCCAAATCAGCTAAGCAACCGCCAATCCTGTCTGACAGATCACGGGGCCGGGGGAGGGGCGCTCTCACCTCCCGGGAACGGCTCTGGGCCCGGTGCTGACGCTGTTCACGTGGTACCGGGGCTTCTCGGCGTGGATGGAGAAGGTCTCCACTCCGCTGTCAAACTCGGGAGGCTGGGCCTTCACCAGGGTCTTGGGAGAAGCCGGGACTTTCGGAGACACGTCAGGCTTGGGAGCAGTTTCACTCGGCAGAAGGTTGTGGCTGAACTTCGGGCTTTCAAACTTGCGCTCAAATGGCCGCGCGGAGCTGGTGTAGGGCTTGGGGGTGAAGCGGTTGTAGGCCGGGGCGACCGTTTTCTGAGGCTGTTCGGTGCCGTTCACCGGCGCCTTATCCGGGAAGCTTTTCTGGGGGTAGAAGGCAGGCTGAGCAGGGTCCTCTCGGCTCATCGTTCTGAAGGCGACTGGCTTGTTCTGAGATGGAGGAGGTTCTGGTTTGGACACTAAAGAATTCTGAAAATCCAATGACACCGAGTTACCTGGAAAAAAACACACAGCTATTTTTAAAACTTTAAAAAATTTTCATGTTATTGATTTCAGAGAGGAAGGGAGAGAAAGAGACAGAAACATCCATGATGAGAGAGAAACACAGATTGGCTGCCTCCTGCAAGTCCCACACTGGGGATCGAGCCCGCAACCCAGGCAGGTGCCCTGACCGGGAATCGAGCCATGACCTCCTGGTTCCTAGGTCGACGCTCAACCAGAGCCACACCGGCCGGGCTATGTATCGATACTTCTTACAAGAAAAATGACGTGCTTCGAAGCGAGGATTTAGTTTTATGAGAATTAATAGGGGTGCTGCCATCTTCTGGGCGTCCTACCTTCCCCGTGGGTTCCTTTAGCGTGGGCGTGGAGCATGGAGCTGGAGCTGGGCTGCGGAGGCTGGGAGTACTGGGCAGGCAGCGGGGGTGGGGGTGGCGTGGGCTGGACTGGGTCATAGCGTCTGTCGCCGAAGGCATCAGCGTCAACAGACTTGCTCCTGTGAAGAGATGAAGACAATGCCAACACCTGAACACGGACAAAACACACTCTCCTTCTCCACACATCGCTCAGCTTTTTTTATCTAGAAATTTCACAATGTGCTCTTGGGAGCATGGCAGCTCCTCCAGCAAAATAGGCAAACAAATCCCCCCGCTCACCAGCACACGGGATGCAGACACACAGGCACTGCAGGGAAACACCCAGGCGATGGCAACCAGAGGCAAATGGGATTCTGGGTACACGTGGACTAGCTCACTCTGCTGTTTGCAATTTAAACATGTCTTGCAAATGTTTTTAAAAATATTCACAGGCCAAGATCTTCCTTAGGCTCATTTCTGATTTCATATCCGAGAGCCAAGGCCACTCCGGTGTGCCCCGAAACGGTGCACACATGGAGCCAGCCCCTCCTTCAGCGAGGGCTGCACAGCGAGTGCTTTTGGCTTTGGGCCATCCGTTTCAGGGACAACTCCGCAATCTCGGCCTGTTGAGGGCAGAGGCACCAGGTCAGCGAGCAAGTGTGGCCGCTCCAGGGAAGGAGGAAACGGCACCGTTCACTTTAAACTTGGCCCTGGACCCCCCAGATCCACCTTTGCTAACAGCTAGGGGATCAGATCCTGCTCCACTTTAGGCTCACTGAAGTCAGACTGTGCTGCACACCCGTATTTGCTCCGGCTGCCATTGTTCACGGGGACACAGAGAGCACACACAGAAGAAACCCTGCCGAGACCCGTCGCGGGCACGCCGCCATCCACACCTTCGCAGAGCCGGCTGCCTGGCGTTATGTGCACCCCCAACAGACATGTCGAGGGACTCTGACTCCCGCGGGACCTCAGCTTGAAAGCTGAGCCGCTAGTCCGCTTTCCGCACTGACACGAGCGTTTGAGGATGCGTTCGAATCTGCAAGTGCACATAACGCCAAGGACGGGGAGGCACACCTGCTGGAACAGCCTCACGTGGATGCCAGGCTTACCACTTGACGCTCCTTCTCAAGTAGTCATAGCTAGGGTAAGAGCCAAGAAATCTAGGGATGGCCAAGCAAGCGCAACAGAAAAACGAAAGAAAATGGTCAATCTAACTCGGCAATCCGCAGCAAATGGAACTCAAATGTCATTTAAAAACATCCACCAAGGCGCTCTCCCTCCCGGCGCCAGCCTTCCCCTCCCTTCGCCGGCCTGGGCACGCTGCCATGGCTCCTTCACTCCCACGGCCCTTCCTCCATACCTTGTTCCCCAAGCTCATCTCCGCTGGGCATTACTTCTTCTACCTCGGTGATTGCACCAGATAAAGGTTCTCTTACAAAAAAAGTTGAGTGTCTATCTAGGAACCAGGAGGTTCGATTCCCAGTTGCAGGCTCCATCCCCAGTGTGGGGCATACAGGAGGCAGCCGATCCATGATTCTCTCATCACTGATGTTTCTCTCTCTCTCCCTCTCCCTTCCTCTCTGAAACTTTTATGGTCCAGCCATCCTTTCTTACCTTTGATGTTAACACCTCTCCTGATGCAAACACTTCCTGCTTCTGCTCTGAGAGTTAAAGGACAGAGGCAAACGCAATGCCTCCAGCTAGAAAGCGTGCCCGTGCTGGCCTGCCGGAGGCTGCTGAGAGTGTGTGCCACACACTCCACCATCGCCTTCCCGAGGCACAGAGCTTCCCAAGATGGCTCCGCTGCTCAATCGAGCCTTCTGCGGCCCTCCCTCTCCAAAGGGAAGTGTCGGGCCAGACGACTTACTTCGCGGAATAACTGGAAAGGCCTGGCGGGTGCTGGGGGTGAGCGGGCTTGGCCGGCTCTGGGAGGTGGCCGGTGGGAATGTGTGCAGAAGGCTTGTTGTCAAAACTCCTCCGGTCGAAGTAGGAGAGCTGCTTCCGGTAGTACTCTTCATCTTCCTCGGGGTCGTAGTGGTTGGACCGGACAATGTCTTCCGGGGGCTTCGGCTGAGGCTTCTGTGGTTCTGGGATCCTGACAACGAACAGCAAATGGGACAACCTTGTAGGTGGTGATGTCACCAGGACACGGGGCCTGGAAATGGCTGACCGCGACCTTCGGTGACTGCTGAGCAGCCCGGTCGACAGGATGTCTTCCCTCCCACAGCTTCACACACGAGGCTCAAAAGGCAGCCGCTTCCAGCCCATGGGTTCACTACCATCTACTGAGCTCGACAATGATCTGATCAGAGGCCTCACAGCAGGTTAAAAACAGATTATTTAGAGAAAAGGAAATGGAACCAACCAAGATGTTTCCTTTCTGTCCGGGGCCACCGTTTCAGCCAGACAGGGTGCAGTCCATTCAAGGACAGACGGTCTCCCTGCTCCTCCCCCACACTAGGGCCGCTCCCGGCCAAGGGGGCCCCTGCTGGGCCAGCTCCACTCCCCCCAGCACGGCCCACCTGTACAGCGTCTTGTCGTGTTCGCTGAACTGACTCTGAAGACTGGCTTTAGGTCCGACGACGGGAGCCCCTGGTGGTTTGGACGCTGCCTCTGGAGGCTGCAAAATGAGACAAACACGCCCGAACTGGTCACGGCCCAGCAGGCTGCGGGGGAGGAGGAGAGAGGGGAGACAGTCCCGACTTTACCTTAAAGCCAGTGTGGTTCTCGTCCTTCTTGTTGTCCAAGGACGCAGACCTCTTGTTCTCAAACATCTTCACCCTGGTGAGCACGGACTGGGGCTTCATGGCCGGGTCCTCCTCCTCGGCGGGGGCCGGGGGCGGCGGCAGGGGCTTGGTGCTGGGCGGCGGCACGTCCGGCTTGTGCTGAGAGGCAGGCGCGAGCGGAGGCACCAGCGCAGCCCCGTGGAGCGGCTCGTAGCGGCCTGCCTTGGAGGTAAAGCCTTGTGCGGGGACTTGCTCGTAGCTCCGTGGGTACTGCTCGTAACACTGCTTGGGCTCCGGGGCCTGCGGGCCCGCGGGGGGCGGCGCCTCGGGCCTGTACCTGCCGTGCACCTCATACCCGGGAGCCGGGGGCTCCTCGTGCCGCAGGGTGGAGGTCCGGGGCGGCTGGTCGTAGCGGGGTCTGCCGTCGTACGGCAGAGGCGCTGGCTCCTCGAACCTCGGGAAGTAGCCCCGCTCCGAGGGCTCTTCGGGGCGCTGCCTGGGATCCAGGTCCCGGGGGTGCTGCGTGTCAGCGGGCCGCGGCTGGTAGGGCTGCTTGTCCTCGTAGTAGGACCAGTGCTCCTCGTAGGCGGGGATGCGCTCCTCGTAGCGCAGGCGGTGGTCCCCGTGCCGCGAGAACTGGTCTGCGTAGCCCGCGGAGTCGTATCTGTACGCGGGCTGCTCCAGGTCCCTGCTGGCTTGCTTCTCCACGTATGGGGCATGGGGCTCGTAGCTGGGTTTGGGGTCCCTGTCGGGCCTCAGCGCGGGGTGCCCCCCAGCTGGCTGCTTCACCACATGATTCTGCCGGATTGCGTCCTCGGGGTAGGGGTCCTTCCGGTACACCTGCACACAAGAGCCGGGGTAAGGGCACAGGCCTCTCTCCTCATTGCTTTAACAGAACTATGGCTTCCTGTAGCTCCGTAAGCGGCCTGCCCACTGGTTACGACCAGGGAGAGAGAAAAGGGGAGAAGCCAGTTTTCGAGAGAGCTCAACACGTGCAGTGCAGGGGGCTTTCCCTGCCCTCCTGAGCTAATAAACAAATACTGCATTAATTATTCCAATTAGCAGAAAGGTAAGCAGCGCCCCGAACCATTCATTCCCCTTGATTGGACACTGAAAATGAAAATCACAAAGAAAATCGGCACACACCATGATTTATAAAACAGAAAAATGCCTAGGAGGGGTCTCCATCGTATAGTAAGGAATTCTGGAAGACACGGAAAACCCCAAAGTAAGAATAAAAAAAATATAAAGCAAAAAATGGCAATGACAGGCCTATCCCGCAACGAGCCACGTGCCACCGGAAGCCATGCACACCGGACGGAAGGCTGCTGCTGCCGGAAGCGCTCTGTGTGGCCGGGGACGAAGCAGAGGGACCGGGGAGGAGCAGGCGTGGGCACCGCGCCCGGTACCTGTGGTGGGTCTACATGCGACGGCAGTGCGGCTCCGTGGTCCCTGAGCAGGGTGTGGGCGGCCTCGGCCCTGGGTGTTGGCCAAGAGTCAGCTGGTGGGGAGTGAGAGGCGGGAGGGGTGGGCGCCTCCATTCTGACATGAGTGAACTTGACACTGTGATTGACAGCAGAGGTAGGCGGTGCTGGGTTTGGTTCGGGCGAAAGGGAAGGGTCTGGAGATGAGGCGTCTGCTGTCTGTGAAGGTTTGAGATACTTTAATAGCGCTGCTGGCCGCTGCCAGCTTCCTACCTCGCTGCAGCGTGGCTGAAGACACACATCGCTAACGTGCACAGTAACAGCTAAGACGCTAAGACGAAGCTCAGTATACTGCTGTGTGAGACGAGCACACACAGTTAGAATTAAGTCCTTGGTATTCTCAACTTGAAGTTAAAAATTACTTCTTAATTTGGAAAAATATATTTCTATTGATCTCAGAGAGGAAGGGAGAAGGAGAGAGAGATAAACATCAATGATGAGAGAGAATCAGGGATCGGCTGCCTCCTGCACGCCACCTACTGGGGATGGAGCCCACAACCCAGGCATGAGCCCTGGCTGGGAATCGAACCGTGACCTCCTGGTTCATAGGTTGACACTCAAACCCTGAGCCACGCCAGCCAGGAGAGAATGTATTCTTCACTCAACCACCATCCTCATAGCCAACAACGCACCCTCTCTGCGCCGTGGGATGCGTGCCGCTTACCTGCTGAGAGGCTGTTTTAAATCCGGGGGAGTCTATTCTATGGACGGGCTGAGGCTGCACTTGTGGTGAGTGAGGAGGAAACGCCTGGTGCTCGTGGTGCATCCCGGAGGAGTCCTCTCTTACGGGCTCAGAGGACCGGGTAATGGCGGACTCTGGGGGGGTCCCCACCTCGTCATTAAGAGTCTCATCTAGTTCTTGATCAGTGTAGGCCCCGCCTTCTGTGTCTGTGTCTTCATAGTCAGAAGTGTGTCTACTGTCCGTGCTATACATTGAGTACTCGCTACCTGGGGCTGACAGGTAGGACAGGCGATCGTCATGCAAGTCAAGGTCGTCACTGGTAGCACCATCCGCCTGGGTCAAATGAAAGTAAATTACAAGTTTTACTCAGTATCCTGGAGGGAGGGAGGCTGGAAGGGATCGGGCTTTGAAGAAATCACACCGAGCTCTCGACACTTCCGCTGCGGACAGGCCAAGAAGACTGCACAGGCGCACATGCAGACACACAGCACCAGAGACCTGAGGGCCTGGATAAAAGGGAATGTCGCTGGCCAATCAGGATGGAGCTGGCCTCTGGGGCCCAGCCCGGAAGACAAGGAAGGGTTCCTAAGCCCAGTCAGTCACCAGCACGTCAGCCCAAAGCAAGGGGGAGGGGGAGGGTGCTGCCAGACCACGTTCACACAGGGACACCCCGACAGGACAGCGCGTGAGAACAGCCATGAAAATCAACTGAGTGGAGGAAGAGCTTACGCCTCTTCTATTATGTTTTAAATATGTCTACTGATTTCAGAGAGGAACGGAGAGGGATAGATAGAAGTGACAGAGAGAATCACTGATCGGCTGCCTCTTACACACCCCCTACTGGGGATCGAGCCCACAACCCCAGGCCTGTGCCCTGACCAGGAATTGAACCCTGACCTCCTGATTCATAAGTCGATGCTCAACCACTGGGCCACACCAGCCAGGCAGAGCTTAAGCTTCTATACAACACAAGGGAAAGCATCACTAAGGACTGCTGTCCCTACACGTTTTTCTTTATGGTTCAAAGAGGAGTACCCAGCGGATGGCACGGGAGGAACGCAGCTGGACTCTCTTTAACAAGTAACCAAGATCGAGGGCGCTGAGAGAGGAGGAGAGGTGCCTGAGGAAGGAGGTGAGAGCGGCACCGACAGGCTGGACTGGACCAGACCTCAGCCTTGGACTGACTAAACGAAGAGCCTTCTTGCCTGGACGCAGTGCACAGTTAGCATGAGCGCCGAAGGGTGTGGAAGCCATAAGTCAGACAATCTTTTGTCCACGCCCAGGACAAACGTGCGGCGGAGCCACCTGCTAAAGAAGAGCCGGGCCTGCACTGTGGGACGATGAGGGTGCTGGGTTCCAGGAGGCTCCAGACAGGAGTCATATCCCGGCAGGGTCTGCCCCCCTGAACCTCATGGCTCCCTCACTCTCTGTGCTGCTGAAGAAGAGCAGTCTCCCTGCCCTCTGCAGTGCCCTTGACCTTGCAGGGCTGAGGACTGCAACCCAGCACCAGCCGGGGGAGAGGGAAGGCCGGGGGAAGGGCAACTGGGACTCAATCACAAGCACACCAGGCAGGAAGTGCCCAGTGAGCCCGGTGCAGGGAGTGCTGCAGGATCGTTCCAATAAAACACACTGGGATGGGAAATGGAAGAGGTGGATAAATCGAACTTGATCTAAGTTGTAACCACTCTGATTTACCGAACGCAGCAATCCATCCTGATAACAAAGAGCCTACTTTCCTCACATAAGAAGTTGGGGGGGTGGGAGTTAGACCTTTACTCTGAAATCCAAGCAAAGAAAGGAAACAAAAGGAAGGACAGAAATGAAAGGGAGCTGAGGATTTAACCTCTCAGGTAGAAAGACAGTGCGCTCTGCATTGCCAAGCTAATCCCATCCGAGAGCCACCAGTGCAGTCTGGCCGACAGAGGGCGCTAGCAGGGTGTGCTGTCCCAGAGAGCGGGCAGAGGAGGTTAGTGAAGTGGTGGCTGCCAGGTGGTGGCTCAGGGGTCCCAGCTGCGTGTTAGTTCTTCCCAGTATGGCCTGGCCCCAGCGAGCGGTGCGGGTGTGTGTGTGTGTGTCCTGACAGGCTCTCTGCATTGGGCAGTGGGGGCAGCAGCGCCGGCCGCCTCGGGAGCGTGTTAGCCTCTGCACTGCAGACTGGGTGTCCTGGGGGGGGGGCCAGGCCAGGCCTGGAGCATGCAGCATGCATGGCCAAGCATCTGCATCACAGCCAGGTGGGAGGGGCCATGCAGGGGCAGGCACAACACAGCCCAAGCTGATGGAGAATATGGAGAACAAAATAAAAAACAGACGTTCACAACCTCCCCTAGCAACCAGAACAGATGATTCAGGTGGCATTTGTCTGGAGGTAGAAGACACTGAAATCACAATGTTCTCTGCACTGTCCACTGTGAACAGACATCAGCTCTCCCAACAGAACAACAGAGCTCTCCCACATGTGAAAGACGGCCACACCAGGAAGAGTGACAGCAGAAACAGGCGTGGACTGGGCAGCGCACCTGTCCATCTAGCAGGCCCTGGCGACCGTGCCCTCCCGCCCCTGGCCCTCAGAAGGACCGCTGTCCTCTCAGCGAGTCCTGAATGTCCTGTGCTGAGGACAGCGTGCGGGGGACGCTCTTGTGGCCCACCCGGCTCCCCTCTTTCACAGGAGGAAACTGAAGCCAGGTTCAAAGTCCTTCCCCAGTGAGATAGGGACAGAGATAGGACCCAGCCATGCCCATTAGTAATATTTAAGAGGGCTTTTGAGGAAACACCACTGAAGTGGGAAGTCAATAGTTGGGAGAATTTCGGAATATCTTGCCACCAAAAACAACTCCCATAAGCCCTCCACACAAAAGATAAAACCAGATCCATTAGAAAACAGAGTAACTCGAAGGCATCTCTGACTAGTTACGTCAGGTAGAGAGCGGGCTAAAAGATGAGACGACAGGAAATGTCTTACCTTTCCCTCTGAGACCCAAACCAGCTGGTTCTGCTGTTGCTGAATGGCTTCCTTCAGCGCACCGTACCAGCCGTCGTTCATTGAATTTAAGTTAATTGTGGCTGGAAAATAAATGCATGATGTTAGTTTACAGCTCGGCAACTGCCCACAGTCGGAGTCACTGGACCTGCCGGCCTTACGCACCATCGCTGAGCCGTTGGAAGATGGGGTTTGAGGACAGACCCTGCCCTGTGGTCTTTTTCTCCCCATGTGCCTGCACCGCCCAGGGCAGCCTCACAGGCCAAGGTGACAGAGGTCTCAGTGTTGAGATGACACAGCGCTCTGGCCCACATGCTGCTGCCCCGACACGAAAGAGGCCTTGGGACACTCACTGGTAAAAAGGTGGTGGTTGTTTTTCCGCAGTTTATGAGACCGCTCGTAGAGCTTCCGGGCGCTTTTCCGAGATTCTGGGCATAAGCGCATCCTCATGGTTTTCACGCCTTGCTTAGAGTCGGGGTTAAGGAAGACCACGATCGGGTACCACTGGGCGTAGTTCAGGCGATCGACTGCATTTGGTGTGACATCTAATAAAGCATGTTTGTCCTGGAAACACACAAAACACGAGTGAGGACACGAGACAGAATCAGAATCAGCACAGAAAAGGGCGCCGCCTGACTCTCAAATCGTGATGGACCTCGCCCGTGCTCCCACGTCTCAGGAGACTGTCATTAAAATTAACTCAACACAAGTTCTAGCCCGATCTAACAACAAAAAATAACTTCAAGCAGCTCACTTTCAAGCTGGCCCCAATGTTTGCAAGCTGATGATTCTGCCTGTTTGGTTATATTAGCAATTTTTAACCTTTCTTCATCTCATAGCACATGAACTAAGTACTGAAATCACCAAAAAACATACTGTAATTTTTTGCTGTTGTGGAAAAAAAAAAAAAAAGGTATAATTCTGATTCATTCACACCGGACGGTTATTGTTGTGTTGGTCATTTTTTTATTTGACAGTCTAAGTGGGAAAAGGTCAGTACCCTGACTAAATAATCCAGTATTGCATGTTTTAGGAATTCTTGAGGCACACCGGCTGAAAACCACAGGGTTAGGATGATTACATGGAAGACTTCATGCTCCTGACAAGGATTGCAGAGTAAGAGCAGACGTCCTGCCATGAGGATCACAGGTGAACTGGAGCCGTGTAAGGCACTGTGAACGGTCTGGTGATGTGTCTGACTGTTTGTGTGGCAATCCAAACCATCTCTAGGTGCATGTCGCACTATTCCCGTGAAAGGGACCATTACTACGCCTTTCGGCACGGTGCACCGGCAGTAACTGTAGAAAAACGATTTCTGCTTTCAGATGAACCGAACCGCGTCCTGCTCAGAACCACGTCCTGGCCGCTGAGCGTGAAGCCGGCGCAGCGCTCACCTGGTCTATTATCTGCTTTATCGTGTGCAGGCGGATGATGCCGGAGCTGCGCTGGTCAGTGCCCGCGTCCCGAGGTTCGCTTTCTGTTCGTGGAGTCAGGACAAGACAAAACATCAAATTGTCACCGGTTAGATGAGAACGCTTCAGCCATCAGCACTGCTGATGCACTGGACACGGGACCCACAGCTGGTGTCCTGTGCCACGGCCTCCATCCCCAAAGCCAGGAGCACCCCATCTCCCTCGCTCCCATTATGACAACGGAAATGGCTCCAGACGGCCACTGGGGAGGATCTGCCCTGAATGGGAACCGCTGGGTTAGACAGTGCTTCCCGAGAGGCTGGGCTTAGGAGAGGCCTCCTTGCCTCGGGTGCGAGGTTTAACGGGGCACCCTCAACCTCTGTATGAGGCAGTATTGGGTACAGTATGTTCAAAACATCCAAACTCATACTCTACAGTAAACAGCCCGGCCGGCATGGCTCAGTGCCTGAGTGTCAACCTGTACTCCAGGAAGTCTTTGTCGGATTCCCAGTTGGGGCACCTGCCCAGGTTGTGGGCTCGATCCCCAGTCGGGGGTGCAGGAGGCAGTCGATCAGTGAGTCTCTCACATCACTGATGTTTCCGTCTCTCTCTCTCTCTCTCCCCTTCCTCTCTGAGATCAGTAAAAATATATTTTGAAAAAAACAAAGCAAATTGTTGCTTCTCTTAGGTGAAGGAACCAGCCCAGCCTTAGAGGGGCACCGAGTGAACGACCCCTTCAGCAACCCCCCACCCCTACCCCCGACGAGTGTGGAGGCGACCTACTTGCGATCTGGTAAACATCCGGTTCCTCTCTCGCCAGCTTCTCTCTGGCTACGTCGGCGATTGGTCCGAAGATGGTGACTGGCCGCAGGAACCCGGCTGCCGAGAAATCCAGGAAGAGTGGCCTAGTTAATACCTGTCTTCTGTAATCACGTGGACACAAGGGACAGGCCAATGTGGGAGGAGAAACTACCTTCCCGGAGGACCACTCGCTCGTAGGCTGGGAACTTGGTCTGCACCGGCTGGGCCGACAAGTCCTCCCGGCTCTTGCGGAGATTCCTCTTGGAGCTGCGGAGGCCCCGGAACCTCCAGAAGTCGGCGCGGTCCCCTCCCGCTGTCTTAGGGAGCGTGTACTGCACACTGGCCAACTGCTCAGCCCTGCGCGAGAGCAGACACCCATCAAATACAGGTGCCTTAAGGGAGGAAGACCCCCACGGAGTGAACTGTCAAAATTCTGGACAGAACCGCACATGCAGCTCACATCTTACTGGTTACACTAAAATCAAGGGGGTGGTACCACTGGGTCCATTACAGATACGATGAGACAATGAAGATGAATCTTCACATCCCAGCACTCCCAGGGGACTGAACTCTGACCTCGTACTGACTTGGCTCTTACCTGTTCTTATTGGGGATGATGCCTCGCTCCACCTCCTTGTGATTTTTGCCAATTCGAATAGCGAGCCAGGAGCCCAGTTTCCCGTTGTACAAGGTATCCACGACCCGGAACACCTCTCCTTTGTTAAAACTGAGTCCGTACGGAGACTCCTTCTCGTATTCAAAGTGGGTTCTGATATAGAAAGAATCTCCCACATCTGACTCTACGATGCGGCGGTAAACTAAAAAGAATCAAGACAAAAACACCATCAGTGGCTAGTGGGATAGGAAATGAAGCTGATGAGAATTACGATGCAAAGAGGCTATGGATGATACTAACAACAAAAGAATAGTGTCAACAGATGCTGACACTGCCCGGCACTTGGCCACGTGTACGTCACCACTACCTCACGGGATGGGGACGCCAGCACCTCCACTCTGCAGGTGGTGAGGGAATTAGGGTGTGGGTGCTACTGGCACTAGAGGGTAGGGACCAGGGATGCTCCCTAATGCCACAAGGCACAGAACAGCCCATGTCGGGTGCCGAGGCTGGGAGCGCTGTCCTCCATGGACAGAGAGAACCAGGCATTCCGGGGTGTGGACCCTAACACACCAGAGCACTGCCTGGACGCCGCCCCGAAGGCGGAAACTGCCCTTAGTGCTTCTGCAGCTAACGCACAAAGGGGGTTTCCTGGGCCTTGCCTGGTTGGTCAGCATCCTCCTTAAGCTAGACCGCCCTGAGGCTGGGTGGTCCTAACACAGCGCTGTGTGATCAGCCCATTCATTCACCCCTGCCTCTGAGCCCTTAAAGGAAAATGAACTCCCATCTCAGCCCTCAGTGCCCACAGCCTGGGTCCGTCCCGCCTCCCGCCGCTCACCGTCCTTCTTCTGCTGCGCCAGGATGGTCACCTCCTCCCCCCGGGGCAGATCCAGCAGGAAGAGCACGGCCTCCTCTCGGATGATGTTGGTGAAGTCGACGTTGTTGACCTGTCAATAGGCCGTTCACAAGTCACTTATGGCCGTAAGAGTCACAAAGCGCTTATCTACACAGGAAGCGACTACTCTGTTTACCTCACTTAAAACGATCACATCTGTCGGATGGAGGCATTGACTTTGGAGAAAGAATATAATTTAAAACAAGCATAAGCCAAGAAAAGTGAGTGAAGGTGTACATTCATTTAAAGAGCAGTCACACCCTAGCTGGTTTGGCTCAGTAGATGGAGCATCAGCCTGCAGAGTAAAGGGACCCAGGTTCGATTCCAGGCAAGGGTACATGCCTGGGTCACAGGCTTGATCCCGTGTGGGGCATGCAAGAGATAGCCAATCAACAATTCTCTCTCATCATTAATGTTTCCATCTCTCTCTCCCTCTCCCTTCCTCTCTGAAATCAATAAAAATATATTTATAAAATAAATAGCAGTCACCATGCATCCTGACTTTAAAGACTATTCAGTGCAAAATCTAACCACTTTAGATCAAAGACAACTTCTAATTCCAAATATCTATTATTGCTGAACAATTACAAGTTCTGTAAATGTGCAAAGAGCCCTATTTTACTAGACTCTGCAGGAAACGAGATGGAAAAGCAACAGCGGCTGCGCCGAGGCCGTGCTGTGAGAACATCGGTGGGACTGGTGAATGCTCAGCGGCTGCCGGGCAACGGTTACTTCAATGAGCCGCTCCTAAGGACCAGCAGGGCCTCGTCCAGATGTCAGTGTGACTGCGCGCCGGGTGACAAGAACAGCAGCACGCACTACTTGTACAGCCAAACAGAAAGACACTTTTGAGAGTTCTAATTGGGTGTACCCCTAAGTTTAGGAGAGTCATGAGGAAGGCAGGAAAGGCGCAGCCACGCTCAGAAGGCAGAGGACAGTGCTGTGGAGCCCAAGAGCATGTTCACGAAGGATAGCGGGAGCGCAGAGCACAGCGGGGACGTCAAGGAGAACGCAGGCTGCAGGGGCCACAATGCCTCTCCGAGTTCTATGTGCTTCAACCCCGCGTGCGTGAGCGCACAGACGTACCCTGAGAATCTGATCGCCCTCTTCCAGGCCTTCTTTGGCTGCAGGGCTATCTTCTAGAACGCCAGCGACAAATATTCCAACATCATTGCCACCAGCCAGTCGCAACCCCACGCTGTCTCCTTTTCTGAATTTTACCAGTTTCATGCTGGGCCTGTTGAAAGGAACATCTCGTTTGAAACGGGGAAGAGAGGCTTGAGAAGTTACAGCAAGCTGCTACCATGAAACCGTATTCAGAATGCACTAAAGGACCATCGTGTCTGAAATGTGGCCCTCACCAACCACTGCCGCGGACAGCCTTCGGTCAGCTCATGGTACCGTGTCACGGCACCACAGAGGCAGCAGGACACTAACTCCGTCCTCAAGATGGCGGGAACCGGGTTATAAAATGTACATCTCAATGCCATCCACTGAAGAAGACACAGTGATAAAAGGTGCAGGATATAGAAACTTAGAGACGCTACCATCCAGAGCAGGTTCTCAACCAGGGGTGCTCTGGAATCAGTTCTGGTGGCACACCTGGGGGGGAGCAGGGATGTGTACTGTCAGCTAGTGGCCAGTGATGCTACTAAGCAGGCCACTAAGAAACAGAGATGTGGCCTGAGGGGCAATAATGCTGAAATGGAGAAACACTGATTTTAAAAAATGCTAGGGCATTAGGAAGTTCGTCAAACATCTAGTATCTAAATAAAAAACAATTTCTTAATTCACGACCTAAAAACTAGGTAGGAGACGACAAGAAAAAAGCACACATCCAGAAAGTTCTTTTGTTGTTCTCTCGTCTCTGATTCTATCATAGCTTTTAAACCCAATCACAGCATTAATGGCATGCAGAGTTTTAAATGCACGCCATGTGGTGGGAAACTGATCTCGCACGTTCAATGGTGCTCAGCAGCGCAGAGGACAGCGCAAGGCAAAGCCGCGTTACCGAAGGATGCCGTCTTCATGCGTGGAAGTGGGCAGGACCCCATCCGACGGGCTGACGGGTAAGTCCACATCCGGCTGTCCCACCTGAGCATACACAGGCTTTGGTTCTAAGAGAGAACATTCACATGGTGCAGAAATCGCTGATTAAAAAATAGAATAATGATGGAAGAAGCCAGTCTGCCTCACATGTAAGATCAGAGCACCTGCTGAGGCACATGTATTACATGTAGAGAGTGTGGGTGAGTGGCAAACTCTAGCGTCTTTGTACCAGGCATGTTGGGACAGGATCGCCGTGCCTGCCACGGACCGGCGGGGAGGGCCTGAGACATCCAGGCGTAAGGGAGCGCCACAGAAGACGGAGAATATAGGACCTACATTTCTGCTGTGGCCACCCAGCAGCCTCCGTCTTCCCTGCGGGAAGTTATTTGTAATCACCCACACTGCCACCACTCAACAAGCAGAGCCAAGATCTGAGAAAAGGAGCTAAGCGACATCAGAACAGGAATCCCAGGCCTTTCAAGCAGGCCGATCTCGAAATCCTGCAGATTCCTCTGTCTGACCTCACAGCTCTCCAGGGCACACTCACTAGTGTTTGTGAAAGCACTTTCATACGCAGTGACCTGCACTGTGCTCCTTCAGCCACTCTAATGGAGAACCGCCTTCCTCACGGGAAGTAGCTGTTAACCATGAGGAATTCCGTCCCAGAAAAACCATCCATGCATGCCTACTGACCCATGCCACCCTCCACCGTAGAGAAAATGCTGCAAGTTACAGACAGATTCAACGCAGGAAGCAGTAGCTGTTTTAACAATACTAGCAGCACCTTTGAAGTCCCCTGAAGCCTGACAGACCTGCAGCCGGAGGGCATGTCCCCCAGACGTGGTGCCCGAGGCTCACCTGGAAGAGCAGCTGCTGCCTTCTCATTTCTCTCCACGGAGACCTCTTCCACTGCCTTCGGGGCGCGATCGTCCGCATGCTTCACAGGCGGCGAGACCGTCCCCGGTTTGGACGCTCTCTCCTCCTCCCTGCTCCGGTGACTACACAAGGACCAAACGAGAAGTCACCAGAGTGAGGACGGCTGCGAACGTCCTTTGTAAGAGAAGAACTTTAACATGATGCCAGAACTTCCTCTAACAGCTCTCAAACTGTTATAAGAAGCCAGTAGGTGCCTGGCTGGTGTGCCCACCTATGAACCAGTAGGTAATGATTCGATTCCCAGTCAGGGTACCTGCCTGGGTTGCTGGCTCCATCCCCAGTATGGGGGGTGCAGGAGGCAGCCATGAAAGTACTGTATTATGAGTATAGTGCAATTATTACATAATACAATTATTATGATTTCAATAACATTTCTGACGGGAATCACATAATTCCATTGCATTTTTCTTCATATTTGAAAATTAATGCTCTCTTTAGTGCATTTCTGTTATCTACCAAGAGAGGGAGACATTATTCAATAATACAAGCAGACCTAGAGGTGTTTAACGTATTCTAGACTTCACCTTAAAGCCTGGTGTTTTCACACAGGCCCAAGTCTAGGCCCAGAGTGAGCTCTGAAACAAGACTGAATAAACACAAAACAAACCGAGCTGAAGAACACCAGTGTAATCCTTCTCTCTACCCATATATTGTTTTTTTTAACGTTCTAGACCAGGGATTGGTTAACTTTTTCTGCTGTGGGCCATGCAGCCTCTGTTGCAACCCCTTAATTATGTCATTGCAGAAAGGGTTGTAATAAAACTTTATTTGCACAACTAGGCAGCAGCTGGCTTTGGTCTGCAGGTTGCACTCTGAAACCTGTGATCTATACAACAGGCTAATAGAGGACTCCTACTCTGGTTACCTTCCCTGAGCAGTGGATTACATAAGCTTGCAGGCCTCAGCAAAATGCAGCTATGGGCCAACGGTCTTTATAAATAAAGTTTTATTGGAATACAGCCAGGCCTATTCATTTACATATTGTCTAAGGTTCCTTCTGTGATACAAAGACAAGAGATGCATGGTTCGCATGCCTAAAATATTGTACTATTTAGCCCTCTAAGAAGTTTGACCTCTGATTTTCTAGATAAGAAATACCTAAATTGACTAACAAAAATAGATTTATCTGTAAGTAATGCTATAAACACAGACCTAGCAAGCATAACTATTCTATTTTGGACAAGAGTGTGATTACCGCCTGGCCAGTATGGTTCAGTGGTTGAGTGTTGAGTTATGAACCAGGTCACAGTTCAATTCCCAGTCACAGTACATGCCCGGGTTGCAAGCTTGATCCCCAGTGGGGGTGTGCAGGAGGCAGCCGATTCATGAGTCTCTCTCAACACTGATGTTTCTCTCTTTCTCTTTCTCTTTCTCTCTCTCTCTCTCTCTCCCCCCCTTCCTTTCTGAAATCAATAAAAATATATATTTTTGAAAAACACTGTGGTTACCTGCCGCTGCTGGGCTGCGGTGGCGAATGTCTGGAATGGTCAGACGGCTCTGACCGCTGGTCAGGAGATCGCGACCGGCTGTGGCGGGGGGCCTTGTCATGTGACCGACCAGAATGGTCCGATGCCAGCGAATGAATTTCTGAAATGTCTGTTAAAAAAAAGGGGCCATTTAGTTTCCCATGAAAAAGATTTCGTTTTCGGTGAAATATAAGATGCTCCGATGATAATGGTGAGAAGCACTAAATCTAATTGACGAAAAATGGCTGATGTAAGCAGTGACTTCAGAGGCCACTGGTGAGCAGGGGTGTGCTGTCCACAGGAAAACAAACAGAGTGGCAGCATGGAAGGGCCTGGGAGGCATGCTAAGTGGTAAGTCAGACAAGGACAAACACTGCATGGCCTCCCTTGCAAGTGGACGCTTAAAAACAAAACAGCCAACCCCAGCATCACGTGGCAATCAGTTCAGCATGCATGCAATCAAATCGTCACGCTTAGACCTTAAGCTTATACATACACTGGTGCATGTTCATTACTTTTCTGTAACGTTGGGAAAAGTAAAATGAACCATGCATATACATTTGTAATTCTTAGATCTGAAGGGGGCTGGCTTGTAGGAAGTTATCTCGCTCAAACACATTAAGTGTCCCTGGCACTTTAAGAACGGGTCACATAAGGGGACCCGGACGAGGCCCACACTCACCATCCTGCTCCGAGGCGTTGGCCGAGTGGATGCTGTCCGAGAGGTCGGGCACGTTCAGCAGCGTGGCCCGCTCGTCCCTCTGCACCACCATCTTCAGCTTGCCCTTGGACCGCTCGATCAGCGTCTTGGCGTCCGTCAGGGACATGTTCTCCGTCACGGTCCCATTGATCTGCAACAGAAAAGCAGCCGTGGATGGGAGGCTAATGACATAAATACAGACAGTCAGTCCCGTCCACTAGGAACAGGAACAGCTACCGACTCCCTGGCTCCCTGTACGACTCAGACATTCTTCACCCTTTGCTGTGGTCCCAAGTCCTCCTCCTTCCCGGAACAGTAACATCTTGATTACACTGGTACCATGACAGAAAACCCACATCCCCTGGCCCCTCTCCATTGCAGCCACTTTCTATTACTTACACAGCAAATTAACAGAATACACATCTCAGTAATATCCAGAGCAAGTGTCAAGACCACTTGTGGCATAAAAAGGAACATAGCTTCCTACACCTACTGGTGACCGATACTACTGGTGAGCGATACAAACTCAGAGCGGTGAATTCTCCCAGGAGGACTCTATGCCTAACGAAGGGCATCGGTGCTGACATGCTGACATATAAACAAGACAGCGGCAAAGTAGCCAGCCCCCAAACCCTGAATTTCAATTCTTTTGGGAAAACTGCTTCAAACGTGGGCAGAAGCCACGTGGTCCCACCAGAACTCGCTTTCTGATTCCGTTCGCTACAACGTAAGAGTGTACCTTTAAGACAACATCGCCTTCTTGAATATTGCCATCTCTCGCTGCCAAGCTATCTTGTGAAATTTCCTTCACAAATATGTGGCTGGCCAGTCGGAGACCATATTCTGAAATAATATATTGAAATGTCTTTAGTGCAAAATCCTAAAACACTTAAACAAAGTTTAAAAGTATCAGACTACCAATCACTGTATAGGAGTTTTAAAATAGCCCGGCTGGTGTGGCACAGTGGTTGAATGTCAACCAAGAACCAGGAGGTCACAGTTCAATTCCCGGTCAGGGCACACGCCCTGGCTGTCCCAGTATGGGGTGTGCAGGAGGCGGCCGATCAATGATTCTCATCGTTGATGTTCCTCTCTCTCTCTCTCTCCCTTCCCCTCAGAAATCAATAAAAAATCTATGTATTTTTTAAAGTTTTAAAACAGAATCAGTACCAATAACTCATTCTTGGCCCCTCTGTAAGACAGCGTTTCCTTTCTCCCTCAGGAGCCCGCACTCAGTGTGCCAGCAGGGGCAAGTGCGTGGTGCAAACACAGGACGGCAAGCACACTGCGCTCCCGTTTTCCTGAAAGGGCCTGTCCCTCGGAGAAGACACTTCTCTCTGGCTGGCCCTGGGGCGTGGCACCCTAGCTTCCCTCGCTCCAGGGAATACAATTCCAAGAAGCACCGGGGTGGTGTAGTGAACTCTGGGAAGGGACAGTTCCAGGGATGGCCTGCCTTACCACGCATGCTCTGTTTCTGTTTTCCCAAGTTTCTAGAGCAAAAGTCTTTCTATCTGATCCTGCGTGCCTGTGGCCCTGGAGAGCCGTGCCCCCGGGCACTCATTAGCACACACTCCCGGTGTCAGTGCAGACAAAGGCTGACAGCCAGCCAGGTGGGTCTGGGCTGGAGACAAAGCCACTCCTGTGCTGTCCCACCACCACGCAGCCAGGAATGAGGCAACGGTAACTGCCTCCATGGGCAAGGAGTCGGTCAGAGTTGAGGAAACCACCAGCCGAGTCCAGAGGTCTGCGAAGCTGTGCATTCCGTTTTCCACTAGAACAAGGAAGAAGGGCTGCTGCTAGTGCTACTGGAAGGGGAGAGGACTCTTAGTGCCACTACACTGAAGAAAGGAGAACCAAGATGGGAAGTAGAGAAGTTTTCAATAGCAGGGAAGTTAACAGAACTGCTACTCGAACTTGTAAAAGCTACATCGGTTACAGTTTAACTTAAGGCAAACATACAGAGTGCCCACAACTGAACAGACTCCAGTAGAAAAGGAAAATGACTCTCGAGGGCAGCGGTCGCCAACCTTTGGGACCTCACGGACCACCGGGGGCCCATGGACCACCTGCTGGTGCCCGCTGTTCCAGGGGATCTAGGCCATCTACGATGTGGTTCAAAACCCGTGGTTGTGTCACAGAGGAATATGGGAAAACTGTCCATATTCAAGATTTAAAAGTAACAAATGACCAGAGCAGAGATGACTCCAAAATATTCCTTGTACTAATTTATTCATTTACTTCCAGGGCGTGCAGGAGGCAGCTGATCAATGGTTCTCTCTCATCACTGATGTTTCTCTCTCCCCATCCCTTCCTAAAATCAATAAAAATATATTTTAAAAGAAAACGGGTAATGTCTGAAGCTGTCCTAGCAGATGGATACCTTCATTTTTCCGAGACTTGACCAACGTGACTTTGGTGGGTCGGGCAGGCTGGCTGGAGGCCACCGATCGCCTGTCGGACCGCGGGGACAGACTCCTCTCCCGGCTGGCACTCCTGTCCCGCGCCCAGCTCTTCTCACTCCGCCTGCTGGCCGTGCCCCCACGGCCCCCTCTGTGGTCAGGCACGTCCTCGTCGTAACTGTCCGCCTCGTTCTCGGACACAGGCTCCGGGTCGGGACGACTCACAGGAATCTGGACTTTCTTCTTCCTGCGAATGGTCTGCAGAGAGAGAGACTGTCGAGTGAGTGACTGCTTTCCAGCACGGAGGTTTCTGTTCCTGAGAGAGGAAAATTACACCACTCTGGTGCCACGTTAATTAAGTTAATTATGAGTCAGAGAGATATAAGGAATAATGATAACACGTTACCAAGGAATACATTCCCATAATGGTTGGGTTTTCTGCTCTCCTGATAAAGAGATCTGCTTAAAAACCAAATTTGGGAGAGTGGGCCTCAGAAAGTCCTTGCTTTAATTCAGAAAGACCTTCTGGGTGCAATCATCACAAGCCTAAAGGAAAACTAATGATTATTGGTGGTTTGAATAAATAAGTAGTGCATTCTACTCTAATAACAAATGTACTATAGGCCCGGCCGGCGTGGCTCAGTGGTTGAGCATCAACCTATGAATCAGAAGGTCACGGTTCGATTGGCTTTCAGGCTTGGTCCCTGAACTTCAGAACCGTCAGTATCAAGGCCCATGATGGTCCTGCTGGACCTCCAAGAGAGAAACTTATTCCACCTCCACAATGACGTTCAGCTCAGCGTCACAGCTCAGACGCAGCTCCCCGTCTGCAGCGCTCTCTGCCTGCAGTCTCTGTCTCCCTGGATGTAAACTCTGGTCTGTGTGAGTTACTTCTCCAGGTTCCCTTTCCTCAATGACTGGTCACAGGTCCAACTTCCCGGGTCCACTTACTTCCTTCGCTCCCTGGAGGTCAAGGTCTGCATGCACTGCTTCCTGGTCAAGTGGCCTCTGAGGCCCGGTCTGCCCTTGGCCTCACCTGGTACTCACTTTGTCTCATCAGAGAGCTGCAGCATCTTGGGTACCACGCCCTGTCTTTCACTTCTGATGCCTTTTCCATATCTACCTTACTTGCGATTCTCCTCCATCCTCTCCTGTTCTCTAAGCCCATCAGCTCTCCCACGTTTGCATGAGAGATCATGTGCGATATTTAGATGACTTCCTCTTGGCCCTCAATCATCTGCCATGACAACTCCAGCCCTGCATTATCTTCCCCTCAGCTGGCGGCAGGGCCACGCTTTGCTGATGCGGGCTTCCACCATTCACTTTACTGGACAGAAATGTTTTGCTTGTTCGGCAATGCTTCCGTCCGCCTCTTCCCTTCCCATGGAATGGCTAACACATCGATAGAGATCAATGCCACTTCCCTCCCCTACTCCTCGATATTCCCCAGATTTCACTGTCTTAAAGAGGAAGGACACAGTCAAACACCAGAAATGCTGTCGACAATAAAGCTGGTATCTTTACTCGATTAAAGGTAGAAGGGACTCACAATTTTTGCATTCTTCCCACTTTTCCTTAGCTGCTGAACAGCAAAAGCATGTTCAACATTATCCATCGACACTCCATTAACCATCGCAACACGGTCATTTTCCCTAAGAAAAAAGCCACCAAAACAGCACGTTAGAGAAAAACATACAGGTAGGTTTGTGAAGGTATTTTCAAGATGAGTACTGTAATTATGGACTAGGTAATCTATTTGTCTTCAGATCAGTGATGAAATGTCAAACTATTTACTTTCAGATCTCTCACAAACACGCTTAGTAGCAAGTACCCACAGGTCATTCATTTTTTTTAAACCCATTAACACATGGCCCAGCCGTGTGACTCGGTTGTTTAGCCTCGACCTCTGAACCAGGAGGTCACAGTTCCATTCCCAGGCGCAGGCCCGGGTGGCAGGATCGATCCCCAGTGGGGGCGTGCAGGAGGCAGCCGATCCACGATTCTCTCTCATCATCGGTGTTTCTCTCTCTTTCTCTCCCTCTCCCTTCCTCTCTGAAATCAATAAAAACATATCAAAAAACAAAAACAAAACAAAGCCATTAACATGTTTCCTGAAGGACTGAGCAGGTACCACAACAGAGTAATTCCGCTGGTACAAGTACAGGGCATACATGATATTATTTATACAGCCGGGAAAAGTTCTCCCTTTAAAAAAATAAATACTCCTTCTCTTTTGATTTTCTTTTAATCCTTCTGATTATACACTTGCTTTTTTGCTAGTGTACCTCTGGCCTCTTTCTCTTGATTATCTTACTGAACAGAATAGCAAGGCTCAGGGTGAGAGGCTCCTAAGGGCTAGGTTCTACCCAAACCTGAGTAAACGCTGTTTGTTCCACCATTTTCACAGCGGCCTTCTATTCAAGGATCATATACTTACTTTCCATTTAGGACTGAGATAAGGATTCACTTAGAGAACTTGCTGGAGGTCGGGGGACACACTTACTGCAGCTGCCCTTCGGCGGGCCCTCCCTTCAGCACATCCGAAATGACGATCGAGGTCTCCCCGCTCTGAAAGTGGGGGTTGTCTCTCCCTCCAGAGATGGCAATTCCAAATCCGAATCCCGGAGCCTACAGTAATAATCACAGTAAAACGTCACTAATTAAGAAAAATAGCTGCTCATTCTGTCGCACTCTACAAACTGAAAACACTGAAATGCAAAAATGACAGTAATCTTTCATCCGTGGTGCCCACTCCCTCACCAGGATGGTTACTCACCAGATGATCCGGCCTGGGATGGGCATGCGCTCTGGTGCATTAAATGGCATCAGAGAATAGAGAGAACTGCCAACTACTTGATGTTCTGTAAGAGCTAAGATAACCTGAGAGAAATGCACACCATCGCTCTTCTGAGAGGAAGTGAAATATGGGGAGTGTGTAGGAAACCTGTTCTCCGAAGGTCCGGGACCGTAAGCCAGAGCAGCGTCTTCCCGCAGGTTTCCACAGCCTCTGCCAGGCAACCACGGGACCATGTCCCCCGGGGACTGGGTGTACGTCACGGCCCTCCCTCCCACCCAAAGCCTACTCGAGTGGCAAAAAGGAAAAAACTCTCCTTAAGAAAGAATAAACCACCTGCAACTTCACGCCTCAGGCCCGAGAACAATGAAAGCACCTACCTGCACGAAGACTTAGACCCACGTGTTCCTAACGGCAGCTTTCACTACACCACACACACAAATTAGCTCCAAGGGGATTAAAGACTTGAAACCGTAGAGCACATAGAACACATGGGCACTAAGCTACCGGGGAGGAAAGCCACAGGTATCTGACACACCCAAGACCTGAAACCCAAACAACAACAGGCATTCGCTGGGAAGAAGGGCAAAACAACATGGGAACAGCAGCTGACACGGAAGGGACTGCCTGCTCCGACCGCGGGAGGGAACAGGAGCTGCCTAGAGCCCGAGCCCAGGAGCTGTGTCACCACCCGGCTCTGCACACGGGGCTCCGCACAGGAGGCGCTGCTGGCAGGAAAGCAGCCGCGAGCAGGACAGGAACAGCAGAGACAAAGCAGAGAACGGCCAAGGCAACGGGTCCAATGGGCGCCGAGATAAGATGTAAGTGTCAGAAAGCAGCAGGTATGTTCTGTAGCACACACACACACACACACACACACACACCAAGAAATTAAGCCGATTTCTGAAATCTGAAAGAAATTAATTTCACATTAAAAAAAGCAAAAAGAGTGTCGGGATCGAATCCCTTACAACATCACGATGAAGATAAGGAGCGGCAGAGTCACTTCCCTACAGACCACGAAAGCATGAACTGAGCAGACAGAATTCCAGAACTGACTGGGAGCTTTAGAAAAAGCTCATAACTTACAAAGAAAGGAAACTTAGATTATCATCACGTTTGGACAGCAACATGATGTGCCAAAGATACTCCAAGAAACAGTGAGCCCGAGAGTTCCATCCAGTAAAACCGACCTCCAGGGAGCCAGGGCACCAAGAAGCTGGCGGACGTGCAAGGAGACGGCGTGCTGTCTCCACGCCGGGCTAACTGAGGGTGACACCCTGACACTCAGCGCGACGAGAGACCCCGAGCGGACTGGCTGTGGAGGAAGGCTCCACGAGGATGAGGGGAAGCAGTGCAATGGCAGCAGCGGCAGGGGACATGGGAAAGCCGTTTGTTTACACGGGAAGAGGAACAGCACATGGCAAAACATGTTAATCCTGTTCCCAGTCATCAACACTGTAGCTTTTGAATGGAAGGAAAAGCATCCAAGAACTTTTCTCTCATCACAGTTCATGCTTCTGAGACCATTACCAGCCATGAGTGGCAATAGCTTTTGTGTTCAGACCTCTGCCTGGTAGAGAAACTAAATGTATGATAAACAAGAGACATGTAGCCACTGAGTGCTGGAGATGTGGCTAGTCTGACCGGAGCTGTGCTGAAATTGGAAAATGAGCACTGGTTTTTAAGACTCTATGGAATTACAAAAATAAAGCACATCCATTTTTAAATATTGCTCACATGTTGAAAATGGTATTATTTTTTATATACTGAGCTAAATAAATAACATCTACTATAAAATTAATTTCACCTGCGTCTTACTCTTTAATAAGAAGGCTGGACAATCCTAAATTATGCATGTCTTCCCATTACATACATGAGGCTGCTGTACGGACCTCCTGAGAGTGACTTTGTTGACAGGGTGGTCTCCTAGGAAATTAACTTTTATGGGGCTTTTAACTAAGTGCCGAGCTCTATGGGGATATAAACCGACCAGCACTTCCTCCCTTAAGGAGCTTACGGTGCACAGGAGACGGTGCGACAGCTACCTGAGGACTGTCTCCAGTCACTCAGGGCCAGTGGGCAGAGCAGAGCCCAAAGGCCAGGCGTCGGCCTGCGTGGTTCTCCGCCATCATTCCGGGGGTGACCGTGCGGGGCACACAGCGGAGCAGAGAACAGGACGTCTTAAAGGGGAAGGCTGGGAGAGTGGGCCTCAGAGTACCTAACATTCGCAGGTGAAGAAGTCTCCTCTGGGAATGCCAATAGCGGCAGGGGCAATGCAGAAGCACATGGTACATTGTTCCTGACAGCTAACAGCAGGAACTACTGTGTTTTCATCTACAGAACTTTCATTCTTTTAACAGACAAAGTTATTTCTGCCTTACATGTACTTGACCATCAGGTGTCAAAGAGCACGGATTTGTCCTTCCTTGGCCACACATGGCTAGCGCCAAAATGACAGCCTCCAATCACCTTCACTTACGGCGCTTCTCGTTCCTCTGGCAGTGTTTCTCAGAAATGGCAGCCGGAAGCCGTGGCCCCATTTCAACGGGAGGGTGTAGGAAGAGGCAGACAAAGGGACTAGAATCCCACAGCTGGGGATGGCCCACTGGACTCTCTTCACAATGAGAAAACGGAAGTCGCTGCTCCCTGCCAGTGGTCAGACACCCTGGCCTGCAGGCCAGAGCTGGGAAGCTGCCCGATGTTGTAAATAAAGTTTTATGGAACCCAGCCACCCCCACTTGTCCATCTACTATTTATGGCTGCTTCTGCAATGCCAGCGCAGAGGTGAGTAGTCGTGAGAGATTTACGGCCTGCAAAGCCTAAAATATCCCCGGCTCCTGACAGCAAAGGCTGCCGCCAATATTCCAGCAGAGCCAGATCTTACTCTCGCCCGACCCGAACACCAGGGACGGCCCTGGACGAGCCGAGTGCAGTGTGGCTGCCCCCTCCCAGGGCAGAGAGAGGACGCTGAGCCCAGAGGAGGGGCCGCAGGAGAAACGGCCCCATCTTCTGGGCGGGCGCCCTCAGACGTGCCGAGTGCGTGTGACACTCAGCTCATTCAGAAAAGCGGTTCCTGACTTCTCAACGCTCAAGAGCTTTTCCTGCTTTCCCTCAGCTAATGATCTGTAGTAAATACCATGTTCCCACACGTGCACTCCCAACAAAACGAGGCAAAATAGTAGGAAGGAGAAAGATATTTTAGCTAATGGGTCTTATTTCATTTTGTTTATTTAAAAACTAAAAGGTACTAGAGAAAAACAAATGGAATGTGATAATGCCAAATTACACCTACGGCCTCAAAAGAATGATGTAGCTTCTATCTTAGGAACTTATTAAGGGAACAACTTAAACCCAACATAAGCCGAAAAAAGGAGATATAAAAATAAGAGCAGGAAAAAAAAAAAGCAGAAATCAATCAAATAAAAAAACAAAAAAAATGTATCAATGAAAACAAAAACTGGTATTTTGAAAAGATCAATCAAAATTGCTAAACCTCTAGCCAGCCAGACCAAGAAATAAAAGAAGACACAAATTACCAATATCAAAAAGAAGAATAGGGCCTCATTACATTCTATGGCAATAGAATGAGACCACTGTTAACAATTTTATGTTCATACATTAGATGAAAGGGACAAGTACGCTGAAAGATGCAAATTACCAACGCTACCCAAAAAGAAGCGCTAACAAAGAAGAGATACATAACTGGACAGTCCTACACGTCACAGAACTGAATCCATAGTTAAAAGCCTTCCCACAAAAAGCCTCCGGGACCAGATGGCTGGCTGCCCAGATAAATTCTACCGAACACTGAAGGAAGAAGAAACATCAACTGTTCAGGAGTTGTTCTGAGGCGACACCAAAACCAGTTAAGAACAATCCACACACAAGTACTGACCAGTATTTTATGAACACAGAAACACATATCTTCAAAAACTATGAGCAATATAGAAAATGGATGCTATATTACAATCAAGTGAAATTTATCGTGGGAATGCAATACTGTTCAACATTCCAAAAGCAAGAGTTGACCACACCAACAGACTAGGAAGAAAACTGTTTTTTAAAGCTGTGACAGTCACACAGAAGTAACTGCAGAAAGACAGACACTTTGATCAACAGAAGAGACCAAGGAAAGACCACACAAATGGTCACTGGTTTTTACAAAGACAGAAAGAAATTAAACTTGTATCCTGAATATTGAAAGAACTCTCAAAACTCAGTAACAACTTTTGTGCACCAAGGGACACACTCAACAGAATGGAAAGACAACCCATAGAATAGGAAAAAATATTTGCAAGTCATATATCTGAAAAGGGGTTAATATCTAAAATAGGTAAAGAATTCCTACAACTCAACAATTAAAAGACAAATAAGCCAATTAAAAAATGGGCAAAGGGCTTGAAAGATGGTAAACTTTATGTTTGGTGTATTTTACCACATTATAAGAAAACACTCAATAATGAGAAAACAACCCAATTAAAAATGGGCAAGAGATGTGAACACATTTTATCAAAGAAGATATGTGGACAAGTTAGCACATAAGCAGATACTCAACATCATTCGTCCTAAGAGAACTCAGAAACGAAAACCACAACCACATACCACTATACACCTATCTGTGTGGCTAAAATTAAGAAAACAGAAAACCCCAAACAACTCTGATGACATCACGTGTTGGTGAAGATACACAGCAACTGGGGCTCATACATACAGGCAGCAAGGATGCAAAATAGGACAGACAGTTTGGCAGCATCTTATAAGTCTAATATTCGGGGGGAGGGGGGGCAGCAATGGTAAGACATGTACACATATAATACCTTAATAAATTTTAAAAAGATTAATATTCATTTACCATAAGGCACACAGCAACTCCATCCTAAGTACCCAAGAGAAATGAAAAGTTAGGTTCACACAAAAACCTGTATACTAGAGCAGACAGACTATAATCATCCAAACCTGAAAACAGACCAAATGTATCAAAACTGGAGAACGAGTAAGTAAATCTCTCTACATTCACATGCTGTAATATTACTGGGCAATAAGAAGAAACTAACAACAAAAGAAAACAAAATGAAGAATTACTGATACAAGAAATTTCAAATACGTTAGAAGAAACCAGTCTCAAAAGGCTACACATATGTAGTGTGAGCTCACTGACATGCATTCTGGAAGAGGCTAGACATTTCTGGTAAGAACGGAACACACATCAGCGGTTGCTATGTGCTGGGGTAAGGGGCAGAGCTGACTATAAATGGGCACAAGTTTCAGGGTGATGAATGCTCTGTATTTTTACTGTAGTGGTGGTTACATGACTACATATATTTGTCAAACTCTGTACTGCACACTAAACTGTACAGTTGAATTTTACTGTGCACATGAATTTTACTGTATGCCAGTCACACCAATGAAAATAATAAAGGTTTTCAGAAAATAAATGTAATGTGATAAAATAATACCAGCTAATTAAATGATTTTAAGGTACGAAGTTATTTTATATGTTTAATCTGGTTGAAATATTTTACCTACCAGTACATTTCAAACAAACAGAGGTCATATTTTAGCCTTATAAATTAACAGTTACCGTTAATATTACTTAGTCATTTCTTTTATCACCCTTTAGGGAGGCATAAGAAAAATCCACTGCATCGTATCTGAAATGGAGGTTTTTAACAATTAATTCACCACTATCTATCATGTGCAGGGCCAACACTCCTGAGAGAACCAGGGCCGAGTCCAGAACGCGCTTTCCGTCCCCTCTCCTGGTGGGGGCCGGCCGGGGATGCCAGTATGTCCTCCAGTCCCGTCCTGTTGGCTCTGCAGGACGGGGCGATGCCGGCTCTCTGCAGGGGTCGTGGGAGAGCCTTGCTGCGCGTCAAGCACAAACAGTGCCATCAGCCCGACCTAAGCCTGTGGAGCCGGCCGCGAAGCTCAGGAGGCAGAGCATGGCCCCAACACACCCAGCTGGCAGGTCTGATCCCCGGTCAGTGCGCATACAAGCAGCCGATGAATGCACAAGTAAGTGGAACAACAAATCAATGTTTCCCTCCCTCCCTCCCTCCCTCCCTCCCTCCCTCCCTCCCTCCCTCCCTCCCTCCCTCCCTCCCTCCCTCCCTCCCTCTCTCTCTCTCTCTCTCTCTCTCTCTCTCTCTCTCTCTCGTAAGTTTAAAAAAAAAAGCCACCACCTGTGGAGACCACAACTTTAAAAGGGGATGGGATCGCTTGCCCGTTTCTAAAGGGGAGGAGGCAGCGTAGGATGCCAGTGCAGGGCAGACAGGCTCTTTCTCGGACCCAGCTTCCTGCTGCTTGCTCTTTGCCCATCTGCAACTGCTTATGCGATGGCTTGGGGTCTACGTGTGTCAAATGCACAAGCATCCTGTAAGATTTTACTGCCCACAGCACCTGGCTACCGTAACCCCGAGCCTCCAGCACGTGCATCTGTCCTGGGAAACGCTGAGGCAGTCCACCACGCGTACAGGGTGCAGCGTCTCTTATCGGCTCCCTCCAAACTGACAGGCAGTGATCCCTTCCGTCAGAGCGAAGGCGAGCGCACAGCTGCCCCGGACAGGATGTTTGGGGAGCAGGGGTCCGCGCTGGCCTTGGGAGAGCGTGTGCGATTCTAATCCGAGCAGGGCAGAGGAAAGCAGCGCTCCCTCGGCTTCCGGACATCTGCTCTCCCCATTGTGTCCCGGGCGGCCAGCATCCTGAGCTGCGCCGGGATCCACGCAGCACTCACTCACCCTGTGAAGCGTCACCGTGTGCTGTTCCCAGATGGCCGTCTCCTCCATGGCTGTGCTCTGGGGAGAGAGAGAGACGAGGCGTTTGTCTCTGAGAGAACGTCTTCCACCACATGAACGGGACCCCTCGCAAACCGCGGAGCACACCAGGAGTCATACTATTAATACGAGCAGCTCCGAAGAGAGCTCATGGCTGTGGGAGCTTTTTGTTTGCTTTTGTTGGAAGGGACAGGAAACGACCACAGGAACTTCCTGTGTTCTTAACTTAATTTGGACAGAGGCCCTTCTCTGTTCGTTTTCTCGCCAGCTCCAGCTCACGCTGCAACTTTATACTTAGCATGAGTGAGGTGGGGGAGAATCAAAGTTGGAGTGGGTTGTTGTAAAATATCTACTGACACAGGCGACAGTTAAAGCATTCCGTATGCTCTGCAGAGAAAAGGAGGAGTCAAACACCTCTGGGCTCCAGGATTACAAACGCTCCGGCTCCAGGAAATGAGATGCGACCATGACAGGTCTGCTCAGTGGTCATTTTACTGTTACCGTTAACACTCTGCCCCACCTAGCTAAGATTTTGCTACATATTTGTCTTCTGGGCTTTGTTTCTATGGGGGGAAAAAGCGGCTTTTCTAGGGTACCATTGCACGCACACACATCCACACACACAATGAAGAAAAGCTCCCAACACACCTCCCCAAGAATCATCATAAAATTAGGGCGATGCCCGCTCCATGAAGGCACTACTCACCACTGTGCACTGAGGGTTACTACTACAAAGAAACGCTTACGAGGGAGGGAAATGCATTACCATCCACCGGTGAGCACTAAAGAATTCAAAATAAATGTCCTATAAATTGGAAGCTTAAAGTGATTCCATCTTTTACTGTAACCACTTTTGAAATTAGGGTTCCTGAATATAATACACCTATAAACAAAGCTTGGTGGTTTTTCTGTCAATCCTCACCCGAGCATATTTTTCCATTCGTTTTTAGAGAGTGGAAGGGAAAGGCAAAGAGAGAAACATCAATGTGAGAGAGATACATCGATCGGCTGCCTCCTGCACAGGCTGGGAATGGAGACTGCAACTGAGGTGTTCACACCAGCGAGGACTATAAACAAGTTTTGTCCAGCCTCTGCAGAGTTAACCAAGAGGGTGGAGGGGAGAATGCTGAGCATGGCATTCTCAGAGTGTCACATGTGAGTCTGTTTTCCATTTACTGCACCGCTGTCACTACCATCACTAACATCACAGGAGATGCCCAGTGAGGGGAGAGGCCCTGTGAGGTGCCCAGGGCCCATTTCTCCTTCCCCACAGCAACTCCGATGGAAGACTGATGCTACTTTAGAAAATGAATCCGTATGAAGCCTGCTTCCCTAAATTCACAGCAACTGGGCTCGCCTTCCTGCGGATGAATGGGAGGGAGAGAAAGGCCCTCTGTTCGCTCCCATAGATAAAGCCGCCGCCTTCCCAGCGTTTTGTTCCAATCTTCCCATCGAGTGCAGCCAAACCTCCCTTTAATGAGACGTCTGCTGCAAAAAGATGTTTTGTGGTTTTAACAAAAATTGACCACGATTTAATGTACTAAAACTCCTCCACCCATGTGAAGCAATGATGGTACCAGTAATTCTGCTAAGCATTAAGAATTATACTCAAATAGCCTTGGCAGATTTGGCTCAGTGGACAGAGCATCGGCCTGCAGACCGAAGGGTCCCAGGTTCGATTCCGATCAAGGGCATGTACCTTGGTTGCAGGCACATATCCAGTAGGGGATATGCAGGAGGCAGCTAATCAATGTTTCTCTCTCATCGATGTTTCTAACTCCCTATCCCTCTCCCTTCCTCTCTGTAAAGGATCAACAAAATATATCTTTAAAAAAGAGTTCTACTAAAATATACATGATCAAGATGCTGCAGTCGTTTCCGGGTTGCCTCATCCTGGCTGAGGTGCAAAATGAGAACTGCCTGCATAGCTCGAGCTCAGCTCCTGCTGACCACTCCGCTCCGAGTGGCCTGGCACCGGCATCCTCAATCCCTTCCCCGTCGTGCCATTGGCCAGTGACCGGTCCCACAATGCCTGGGGAAGGTCTCTGGAACCTTCCTGGAAGGGGTTATTGTCCTCCGTGCGGCTGTGATGACCGCACAGTTTTCCATTCTGTAAGAGAATGTTAATGCAGTGGGAGTGCTGTTAACCATGAAGCAGCTTGCACTGTCAGCCTCATCTGTTAAACATGAGCAGGAAGAGGGGCTGCAAGGACAGACAGTGCTCATGGCTCCTCTTCAAGTGAAGGAATTACTGGATTATTTTAGCTTTTGCCTTTTCTTTCTCCATTCCCAGCGACTCTTAAACCACATTTACCAAATCCCATTCGAAACTTCAAATACCTGTTTTTCACTTAGCTTTGAGGAAAACCAAACAATATTTAAGAAGATGATTTTGCTTCATTGTTAACTATGAAAGGTATTTACTCTACTGTCATTAAGGAACTTGTATTCTATTTGTGTAAGATAAGGGGGGAGATAAAAATACTAAAACAATTCTTCTCAGCATTCTAATCCAGTATGTTTCTTCTTTGGAGGAATTAGGAAAGTACACCTCTCAACTCGCTCAATGGCTTCCCCGAGAAGGGTGATGCTATAACTAGAGGCCGGTGCACAAAACCTGGGCGCGGGTGGGGTCCACAGGCCTGCCAGCCATCGGGGGGAGGGACCAGGGAAGGTTGGCCAGCCAAGGGAGGTTGGCTTTGGTTGCGGGCTCCTGTCCCAGTAGGGGGAGTGCAGGAGGCAGCCGATCAGTGCTTCTCTCTCCTCACTGATGTTTCTCTCTCTCTCCCTCTCCCTTCCTTTCTGAAATGAATAAAAATACATTAAAATAAAAATAAAGCAGAAAGCATAATTGTGTAACTTGGTCAAAGACCTTCTCATTCCCAAAGCATTCAGGTTTGTGGGAAACCATGGACAAGGTGCTGCTCCTACGGCATGATCTCAGCACCGTCTGTCACTCCTTAGCAATTAAAAAAATGCTGTTAAACAGAAAACGGACTAGAGCAGAAACAGCGAGATCAGAGCCCAAATCTGCTGTCACCCAGACAGGTGACCTTAGCTGTCCTCCCAAAGTTAGGGGATGGGATGAGATTTGCTCAAGTAAAAAGTCCTTCCTAGCCCCCAATGCCGTCAGGCTGTAATTCCAGTTTCCAATAGCATTACAGTTCCAAACGGGCTGCAAGTTCAGATTAAATGCTGCACTCCAGCAGGGGCTGCCCCGCATGGCTGCTGGATTCTGAGTTCTCCTCTCACTTCTAAGTCAGCATCGCTGACCAGAATCGCAATTTCTGAGGAAGCAAAAAACTGCATTTCAGAGTCCACCAAGAGTCTGTTTGGTTTCTTTGTTCTGCGCTCCAGCTGGCAAAGACACCGCTCAGATCACCAACGCTGAAGGGCTTCCGGCCAAACTCCAGATCCCAGTCTAGGAGGGTTCACGTCCTCCAGGGCTGACAACAAAGCAACGGGAAAAGGCCGGAGGACAGAACTGAAAGCACAGGCGAACCTGTCACTGGAAGGAGGCCCAGTGCAAAACAACAAATACAGCAAGTGCTCTCCAATAAAGAAAACCTCCCCTCCTTAACAGCACTATGGATACGAGGACAGGCAGCCAGGTCAATGTCACCACCCTGTGCTAGTTAGTAAGAGGTTCATTCGTTCGTTCATTCATTCATTCGACAAACACCGACCAGGTACACTCAGTGCTGTGGACATTAATGAGGTCCCTCCACTTCCCTAGGGCTCTGGGGGAAGGCTGACCACACTGCAGGAATGGTGGACACGAGAGGTGACCACGGAGGAGGCGAGGACCCTGCCTGCTATGAGACAGACCGGATCTCCGAGAAAGCACTTGAGCTTGAGCTAGAAGAATGGCCAGGAAAAGGGGGGTTTGTATGGGGGACAGAAACAGCATGTCGGCAAGGCCTCTGACGCTGTGATGAAGCTGCGCATGAAGCTGGCTTTGATGTGGCCGGGAAGTGCAATGTGTGGATGGAAGGAGTGAAGAGAGAAGCTGCAAGCACCATGGCAACAGGTCTCATAAAGCTACCATCATAAGCTCCAGGGGAACACAGGGCGTTTAGGCAATCAAATGACAGTCGAGCTCTTTCTGAAGGCTGCTGTGTGGGAGATGGATTGGAGGGCGGGAGACCAATTAGAAAGCTAACGTGAAAAGGGGAGGAGTCAGGGATGACAGGTTTCTGAATTGGGAGAGTGAGTGAAAAAGCAGGAAGAGTATAACTATTAGTTTAAAACCTCAATTTAAGGTGTCTGTGGAACGATCGGCAGAGATACGGACAGTGGGCAGTTCGTCTGAAGGTCAAGACCGAGATCTGGAGGAGATAAGAGCTCAGGAGTAATCAGCAAAGTAGTACTAAACCCAAGAGAACAGATCCAGTTACCTAGGGACCAAGATGACCCTGGGGACTACTAATGTTTTAGAAGAAAAAAGGAAGGACGGAACCACCTTGAGGAGAAGCCAGGGAGGATCCAGGCAAAGCAAACAGCCAGCAGTCAGTGGGCACAGCGGCCGGAAGGCTCTAAGGGGGAGGTACGGAGGTAAGGCAGAGCGCTAGCCTCCATTCTGGTTCAGGGCAGTTCCAGAGGAAAGGAACTGGACAGGTGAGAGGTGACGGAGGGATGGGGGTGGGAAGCTTTCTAGGTAGAGAAAACAGCTCATGCAAGAGCCCTAGGGTAGGAGCATGCTTCTCTCATTCATTCAAACAGTATTTGAGAGTATTATATGCCAGGCGCTGTCACACAATCAACATGACCTTTGATCTCATGGGGCATACAGTCTAGTGGGAGAACTAGATGACCAAAAAAATTCCACGATAAAAAGTAATCAGAGGCGTATATAAATACAAAAATAAAAAATAAAAAAAAAGAAGAGGAAAGCAGAGCCACGAGGGGACTCCAGAGGAACCTGGCAGGGCTCGCAGACCTGTAGGAAGGAGAGGGGCCGGCGTAGTTTGAGATCAGCAGAGGAGAAAGATGCAGATGAGGCTGGAGGCGGAGGCAGGGCC